TCTTGAAACTTGTGATATCTTTGAACAATGTTGTCGAAGGATTAGAAATTATTCTTTCATTTTGAAATTACTGCTCCTTTTTATTCCAGGTGCAGATATTCATACACTTTTATTGAAAATAATACATGGCTGCAATAATAAATGCAAGGCCAAGTTCCTTGACTCGATGTAGCATGGGTATTGGAAAGCCAGGTTTTCTTGCTTTCTTATTGTTTGAATTTCCGAAAATAAAATTGCTTCAAAATTTTAATCACAAGTAAGAAAGTATTTACTACAAATAACTCATAGTGCTATTTGCAGTGAAGTTGAATTGTTTGGGAGATTAATGCATTTAGTAAATTTAATTTAATTAAGATTACTTGCTTGATAATTTTATATTGTCGAGATAAATTTAGTGTTGTTGCATAAAATCGAAGGACAAATATCACGTGTAAATGGCGTACACTTGTTAAGCACTGAAGAAGGAGTGCTAACAATTAGTGACGATCGGTCGTTGCGTATCTACCTGAAACGTGATAACGAACAATTCTGGCCGTCTATCTATCATTATCTGCCGTTTTCTCCCACTTCGATGTATTTTGATGAAGAAAAATTAAGGTATTGATTGTCCTTTTGTCGTTTGTTGCAGCCTACAGCAATATCTCAGCAAGAAAAGCTGAAGAAAAAAACCAAGGTGTACAACCAGTTATGGAATAGCATGTTGTGTAAAAGAATTGTGTTGGAAAAACGAACTGGAAGAGATTAATGCTAGATTAATGAAGGGTGTCTAAAAAAATGTAAAATTATTAGTGTTAGCAATGTCAGATTGTATTAAATTATTTTCAATAAAAACTATCTTTGATATGAAATAATGACTTTCTTACAGGCTCTTTGTTGGTCTTATCAACGGTAATGTTTATGAGTATAGAATAGCAGAAGACATGAACAGTTTGTCGGAACAACGCCATTGGATGGCACATTTGAATATAGTTACCGCTGTACTGCATTCACCTGAAGCTGAACTGATTTTCAGTTGTAGTAAAGATAAAACGACGGTTTGGCATTGTTCGGAAACCTCTGTAAAAATGGGTTAGTTCCATGATTATCGCCATATAAACATTTTATTGGAATTATGCATAACATCTGTAAATGTCTCGATATGATAAAGTATAGTGTTAAAATATTTTCTACTATAAGTCGTAAATCATAACTGAAAAAAAAGCAAATAATAACGGGGATGTAATATTCTTTAAAAACCCATACAACGATTTTTGAGGGTATGAAAATTCGAAGTGACTATGGTTTGTCTAATCAGTACTAACAACAAGAGAACAGAATTCACGGAATCTATTTATTGCGAGCTCCTAGTGTTGACTTTTCCCTAAACAAAAATCGATTATAGCTTTAGAGGACTTTATCTAGAAAAGTTTATTCAACCACTTGATGAGTAGGATGGATCAACATCTTCCTCATTTAAATTTATTATTGATGACCGTATAGCTAAATATTCAAATTATTTTCCTGGTAGTGGTTTAAATTGTACTTCTATTATTCAAATTAAGAAGCACATATTTATTTGTTAGCAGTTACTTCTTCCTCGTTCATATCTTTTATTTACCTGGCTTCAAAGTAAATAGCTTTCCGTCTTACCCCTTGCTGCATACATGCAGTTTTGGTCAAATAGTACTAACCTCTTAAATTATCATCGGATGTATTATCTGTTAGCAATAATGATTATTTTTTACAGGATCCTATACAGGCGAATCAGGCTTCACAGCATTGGAATTCGATGTGCCATCGAAATTTGTTTTTTTAGGTGATTCTGGTGGTGCTATTATACTGCTACGCTTAAATGGTTCAGAAGCAAATATCGTCACCACCCTTTCTGCACATACAAGTTGGTAATATGCATGAATGCATATGTAACAATATCTGTAAAATATCACTTTAACTGAAAAGATCAGGAAGCATAACAACAGTGTTTCACATGTTTTTTAATACTCATTACGAAAATGTTCATGGAAATAAGGAAGGCATTGATGTTGTATTGAAGATGGCATTCAAGCTAGTTCTGCTTTAATTATTTTTTGAAGTGATTGGTAGTTATCGCAAAGTTTTTTCGGTGGATATATCATTTCGATGCCACGACTGAATGACTGGATATATTTGGAGATAACGTGCTAATTGGTGTTTTTTTAATGTAACCATCTTGTTTTTACTTTTAAATTTCCCTTAGAAAGTTTTCCTTAAGAAATGAATACTTTCAATTACTTATGCTCATTCTGCTTTTAGGTACCATAACATCGCTGGCCTGGGATTCAGAACGTCAGTTATTGTTTTCAGCAGGAGCCGATCATCTTGTTATCATGTGGGACATTGGTGGGAAAAAAGGACAAGCATTTGAACTGAAGTAAAATTTCCTAGCTATTTATATCAGTTAAGAGATCGGTATTTATTATTTAATAATTATGTTTTGGGCAAATAATTCAAACTGACGTTTATTTGCTTGGCTTAAAGTAGAAGTTTGTTTGGTTGAATACTTTTTCTTTGATGGAAACAGTATTTCTGCTTTGAGATCTATTTAATATTAACGGGCGAATTTTCTTATCCAAGCATCTTGCTTTATTTACTGCTAATTATTTTCATAACCATAATCATTTATTGTTTCTTTGAATTTTTACAGTGACTATTGTATTAGGTGATATTCATAGTTATTGACGTAAATATTAGGTTTTAGGGAAAACTGGAAACAACTAAATTTTGTGAAGCTCTTTACTATTTCTTAGATGTTACATTTGAATTTTAGTGCCCACAATAGCAGACTAACATGCCTACGATATGCGCAGTATAAGAAAAGACTTTTTTCGGCAGATGAAGACGGAAATTTAGTTTGTTGGGATATGATGGCGAAGCGCGTGGAGACACCAGGATGGAAAACGAGTGATAGCTGTCAACTCTGCGATTCGCCATTCTTCTGGAACTTCCGAGAAATGTGGGATAGAAAGGTGGCATAGAATATTGTCTGTAATTATTCTTTTCATATGCATAAGCAACTCTAAAATTGTTGATTGTGCAGGTTGTTGTAAATGCATATTCTTGTATCTAAACAAGTTACCTTGCTTTTTCACACATTTTTTTCAAATTATTCAAATATAAATGCCTTAATATTGAAATATGTTTTCTTTCAGGTAGTTGGTTTACGTCAACATCATTGTCGAACTTGTGGTAATGCTGTGTGCGCGAAATGCTGTGTCAATACGACGAAGTACCCACCGATGGGTTATGAATTACCCGTTAGGATATGCAACGCCTGCCATTCCCGGATGCAACAGTTCCCTGACCAATTCGAGTAAATTTCATTGAACAAAATTGCCAAAATATGATAATTCTGATTCAGATCTTTGCATGGAAGAATATCAAGGATCAGACTTTGGAGTCCATTACTCAGCTCTTGGGGAATGTTTGTTTGAACTTTTGATTCTTAAACCTAACACTATCTGGTCATTCTGAAAACTGCATTTAATTTGAAATCATCATAAAGGAGATTGCAATGCCCGTTTCTCAGTGGTTGGACACAGTGCATTGTAGCTTCTCTGTGCTAGGTCTTTACCTGTTTCCGACTTCTCTACTCGTTTGGCTGTCGCAGACTTTTCTGAAATCTTTCTCATTTTTTCATACGTTTTAAGGAGCTTTTTCTTCATTTCAGCCTTACTTCGTTGGCAGTCGTTTCGGAGCTACGCCAAGGTGTTGTGTGCATGCATTTGCAAGAATCAACAGGTCGTCTTGTTACAGCTGGTTCGGACAGGATTTTGATGGTTTGGGATGTAAAGCAGCTAGTTTAAAGAGAAACAAGACTGTGTTTATCTTCCTTTACTGAAGCGCCTTGTTTTGCAATTTCTTCAATGGTTTATAGAAAATATTTTGAAAGCCCTTCGTTTTCCATCGTAAACTATAGCATTTTAGTGATTTGAATAGAGCAAATAACAGAAAAGATAATTCTCAGAAATTCCGCTAAGGAAATTTATGTTGCATTTATGCAAGATGGACAAGAATGCGATGATTTCAGTTTCATGGCTAAAATGATCTACCTCATTTCTCTTATTATTTCTGGAGCTGATCAAGCTTTCGTGATCAAATTGAGAGGTTAAGAATGTTGTGGTGTAATGGTAAATTTGAATTTGGAATATTTTCTGGATATATGTAGTTGACTTTGCAGAACTTATTGAGCTGTCTCATAGTGCTCAGAATCCGAGTAAATTGCGATTCCTTTGTTTGCATTGCATTCCTTTGCATCTGTGATATCAAATGTTATATACTATTAAATTGCACAGTAAAATTTGCTACATAAAATAATGTCGTGGCACTTCGCTTCTTTTTTGTAGTATAATTAAAAACAAAAAACAAGCCAACTTTTATTTCGACTTTCTAAAAGTGAAAAATACTTGGAATTTTGTATTTGAATTCGACCTGTTTTAATCCCAGTGATCGACCATAGTGCGTTATCCGCACTAGTTTTGTATAGAATAGAATGGTCAATTAGACCATTTTTTGTTTTCCAACACGTTATGAAGTTCAGAACACTAGCAACTCGGCACCGGGCCATAATGTTACCATTTTTTTCTAGAGTTCGTAGGGCACCACAAAACTTTTTTTTTTGATTTTGAATTTTTGGATTTCTTCGCATTATGCAGATATGTACACTATAAAGAGGAAAGCATTTTCATTATGTGCACTCCAAAACTTCCATTGGCCTTAGCGTGGGAGGGTTATTACAGAGTATCGCCGTTACGTTACCTCTTTTCTACTACTTTCAAGTTCTTATCTCGTTCACCGGACACATGCAAGTCAGGAATTAACACTCAAATCACTAAGAAGAGAGATACAAATATTACTGAATCTTAAGATAGAATATAAAATGAATTTATGTTATAGTAATAACATTAAAATATACATGCAAACCGAAACGAGATCATGAGAAGTTCAATACTGACTTACATCCTATGAAATGGGACAAATTAGTCTCAAATTTCCAGTTGCACTTTGCGGTTCCGCTCACGTTCAATTTCGATCCACTTTGCTACATGACTATCTGCTGCTTTGGTGTAATCACTTTTATGAAGTACCAATGGTGTCATTTTACCTGGTAAAGCAATTCGATTGCCTGAAATATAACTCATCAAAAAGGTTAAAGACGAATTAAACTAGTAATTCAAAACAACCGGACTGATAGCTCTGAAAAAATAAATGAAATTAATACATCCAAAATTTCGAAGCACTATATTATGGACAACTTTCAGAATCTTCTATTGCTATGAAAACTGAAACCTGACAAGACTTTTTAATTTTCTGTAAAACACTTACCACATTTCGGATCGAAGTTCCCAGTCCGTAAAAGATTCATGCGCTGCATAAACACTACTGCAAATCCAGTCATAAATGAATCCACACCAGCACGATGGCAACCTAAAATAAGTTAGAACTTTCAACTGAAACTTTAGAAGAATGTTGTAAGTTCATCAAATCTTGCAACACTTCAAAACATCTTTTGGGCTTTTAGAACAATATTAAATTAAACTAAAATGCAGATCCTCTCCCCTATCTTAAATCAAGCAAACCAAATTATTTTTCTTTATACTAGATAAGGGTGAACTTCAAGAATAAAAAGTGAATGAGTAAGAAGAACTGAGAAAGCTGAAATATATGAACATACATGAACAAGCCAAGACGAGAGTGTATAATCTCTAGATAATGATAGTACGTATAAATTATTTTAACTTTAGAGCATTAATAATTGGTCAATTATATAGGGCTAATAAACAAGTAGTATTAAATAAGTTAATAAACAATTATCGATTCATTATTATTTGATTATTAATTTATTCAATACTTTGAAACTTCTGAAATAATTTGAGAAAGCGAAAAAAATATGTCCTGTAATAATTAGAAAGATCAAGTACAATTAAAACCTGTTACTGATTGTAACAAGTTAGTTGGCTGAGTTGGATTAAATGATGTCTTCATTGCTCTTTCTTGCTCCAAAGTGTTAATTGAAATCAAGTCATTCACCGCGGTTCTTTGTTTAGTGCTTGATGAAACTAAAACCTTATCCTTCCTATCATCTGTCGGTCCCAATTCAGAAAGTTTTGACTCATAATCATATCTTCTTTTCCGTCTTTCGCGTACCTGAAAGCAATATTAGCTAATGCAACTTGTCCTTCTTCAGTCTACCAACAGAATCAACACTCTTCTTAAAATAATCCGAAATATTGTCAAAAATGATTTTTCGATAAAAACGTAACGGCTTAAATGTTGATATTAAAACACTGTCATTCCAATTGGTTAGAACTTAAAATATTCATTAAGGATTCAGAACTTAAATGAAAGGTCAGCAATGTCTTACCTTTGCTTGCTTCTGATCCTCTAAGCTCAATAGGATGTCAACGTCATGTACATAGGAACAATCCCTGGTTCGACAGAAGCCATAGTTCTGTAACATTCGTAACAGCCTAATTTAATTCATATTGGTTCCATTTTCTCCTCATGCTAGTTCATCTGACTCAATACTCGCTACTGTTCTTAGGAATGTAGAAAACAAATGTATAAAAATATACTATAATGAGTGGAAGTTCAAACTACTGCATTTTTACAATAATGAGTACAAAACTCTAATAAAACACAACTATTGGAATTTGCGACATTTTTAATAAAAAAATGAGCACAATAAGCATTTTAGTAAAGTGTAACTTTATTTATTTAAGTAAATTGGAAATCAATTTCCGTAGTAGTCAATTTTCTAACTGTTGTCTCAGAGACAGGAAATTTTTTTTTGAAATCCAGAAATATATATCCTAATTATCTTAGAATATCTGCATATCTCATTGCTCGAAAATATCTATTCCTTCCATCAGTACTCTAAAAGGCACATTATGAAAGCAGAGAAGCTGAATAACACTATTGGCATCATATTCACTAAAAAATCGTTGATGAGTGCGAGAATTGAAAAACTCACCGAATATCGCTTGCAAAGTGAATCCTTTTGTTCGTCACTTAAGCGACAGAGCTCCACCGAAGCATTCGCACCGAAATTATCGGGCAATTTACAATTGACTATGTCAACAGTATTTTTTAAATGCGTTTCTGCGGGTGTGGAATCGAATTCAATGCTTACATACAATCGATTACGTGCTTGTTCAATTACATTTTCACGTTGACTGCAATTTTGCTTTCATTTACATTAAAAAAAAAAAGTTTTGCTTTCATTTTACATAGAAAGCTTTATAACAATACCATTTTCTGAAAACATATTCGAGGAAGGATGCTTTAAATCGAGTAATATATTCCGCAATATATTTCGAATCATAGAGACCAGGAATGTCTCCGGGCAATAAAAACCAGTCAGAAATATTAACAATGAATTCATTGAATGTCTCCGGTAAAACACTGTAAAAGTGCTGATAAATGAATGTCAAATCGATAAGTCCATTATGTAATGTAATAGGAACAGCGGCACATAAAACTTCATGCCATAATATCTTCATTGTGTTTCCCTGGAAGATTTCATTATGCAAACTGATAAAGCTTTGGAGTAACATATGCTTCTTGGTTAAATAAGTTAGAGTTTCATTTTCTTCGAAACGACTGAAACCTATTTTGCCACTAAATATATCATGATTTCCAATCGGAACGTTTGGGCAAGGAAAAACTACTTACAAATCTACTTACCTTTTCAGTATCACTGTCATACGGAATGCCCAAACTGACCCATCGATTAAAATCGAATTTGTGTTTCGACAAAAACTGAAATCCATCTGCTTCAACAACGAACGGTACGGTACACAATGTAAGTATATTGAAAACCTAAAACAAATCGCTTAAATTACCACTTATTAAGCTAATAAATAAGAATGTCTCGAGAATGACCAAAAATGGTCCTCATCCAATATAGATACTGCTAAAAGACGACTGAAGTCCGAACCTGACATTTATATTTGAGCTTCTTCTTTGCATCTGTTTTTTTCCTACTAATTAGTTGAAAGGTTGCAATACCAACGGAAAGCACCGAACGGCTCTGAGCACTTTTTCGGATGACATCGTACCGCTCCTCTAACGATTTCGCTAACCATCCCTTTTGAATTCCCAAGCCACTAAGTTCCTGAACAAAAAATTGAGTCAAAGAATTTTTTTTTCACAGTTTCCAGGGGTAAAATAACTTGTTGGTAATAACAATTATGAATCTTTATGTAGGCAAATGCATGTGTGAACTTTCTTTCTAAACGGAACTCAAAAAAGCTCGAAATATACCTGAGAGACATTTAAAAGTATATTCTATAATATTATCTCTCATTAAGAAAAATGATCTCCACATCCGAATTATTAATGTTATTTTATGCAGTGTAAATGAAAAAAATCAACCTTCAGAGGCTAACACATGTTTATTTCTAATCTATCTGCAATTTTGAGATAAAATGATAAATTAAATCCATCATGAACTTTAGTTATGATTTGGGACTTATCAATTCATCAACTTTATTAGAAATTTATTATTACCCCTCGTCACTGCCATTTTTGTATACGCATATTTTTACACTTTTATTTTTTTTTAGAAACGAAAAAGGCTACTTTCTTATATCTCTTCAGTTACTAATATTTTATCGATAGAAATCCACGAATCAAATTGCTTCGAAAACCTGATTTTCCAACTTAATGTTATAAATCTCTGAAAAATCAGTGAACATATGTAATGAATGTTTGCTGGTAGCAATAAATTAAACAATATAAATGACGTACTAAATCAATGGATAAAAATGATGCATGTCGAATAGAAAGCAGAAGATAAGGCCATGTAATATTCAAATTCTCTTTGTTCACTTCAATCACGACGATATTCGACAGATAACCTTTATGACTTCGGAAACTGCTTCTGGAATGTGATGTCAAATGACACGCGTTATCAGCAGGACTTTGTATATTCTTACACATATCTTTGCTAATCCCTTTCTGAAAAAAAATGAACTAACAAAATAAACAGTGTGATTAATGGCATTATCTTCTAGAATAGAAGATCTAGAATAGAGAGATAGCTCAAGAGGAGCATTGCGTTATCATGTCCGAAGGGATAATGATAACAATATTTTGTACGATCAGAAATCAAGATCTTAACGACTGTATTTTACTGATAGAATAATCCACAAAATCAAGTTACTTTGAAAACCTAATTTTTCAATGATTTTATAAATTTCTGAAAAATCAATTAACATATGTAATGCTTTGCTGTTGCTATTACAATCTTACAGTACAAGTTTTAAATGTGTTCCTGTTACTACTACTTATTTGTTATCAATTACAATATACCTTAAGATAAAGGCTAATGGTTAATGCAAACATACATCTTTTTCATATCCCAAAAACACTTCTCAGCATTCCCAACTACCGATAATTATTGATAATATAAGAAAAAATTTTCTGCCTAAGGTGCGATCTTTGCAAATAACCGAGACAAAGTTAGATGATCCAGTATTGAAGAATATATCGCATCATTTTACACCAGGTGAAAATTCCAAACATAGAACCTCACTATTGAAGATACGATGATAGCAAAGAAAAAACAGACACTGACGTGACCGAGTTCTTTATCAGATGAATATCAAATTCATAATGGTAAACAATTTGAATTATGAATGAGATCGAACTGGATTATTTAAAATTGTGCTGTTATTTTGCACAATATTATTGGGACGTGCGTCATACGTGATGATGAAATGACGTTGATATCAGTGGATCATGCCACTGATTCAGGTTATAAAGCGAATGTCATTTAATCGTAAACCTCTAATTACAATATCAATGGATGATGAACGAGAACAAAATTCTTTGTGATGAAATGAGCATGTATGGATGTGATTGAAGTAGCAATCAAATTAAAAGGATTACAGTTTTCAATTTATTCATCATCATCAAATTATTTATTACTCGGTTGATGTGTTACGAATAATAGCTTCTCTCATCTTCAGTCAGGTGAAAATTGTCATTTTATAGAGGTGACACTCATTTCTACCTTTCTATCACACATCAATTCACGCAGAAGAGATAAGTTTAGCTGGTAATTTATTCAACAATTTTGAAGTGCTTTTCATGAGGTCTAATCGTTATATATGTATCCATTTCACAATTAATTTCATGAGTTTTAATGTAAATTAGAAAAGATATGCAAACTACTTTCTATAAATATTAAAAATTGAAAAAAGATGACAAAATAAAACATGCTAAAGTTATAATATATAATATGTTGGGTAACAAATGATACAACACAATAAAAACGATTTTTGCAATTTATGGAATAAGCTTAACAATATATAACTTAGTACAACTGAAGCTCTCCGAATGTTCATTCAAGATCTTTTATGCATTGAGCATTAGATTTGAGCAACAGCGCTTCAAGAAAAAGAGTGGTACAAACAGCTATTGAAATATAGGATCTGTGCATTTTTCTGGCTATTGGCAAAATGATATATTTCAAACTAATGAATGTATAAAGATAACGATCGGAATATGATATCGTATGGAACTGCAAATACACTTGCAAAATTCCCTAATCAAGAATGATTTCTTTTTTTATGCAAAACAAAATTAGCATTCAAATATGGAGACATAAATAAGCCTTCATTGAAAATACTCAAATACCTTTCTAAAAAATAATTTTTATATTTTTCACTTACTTTATAGATCGATGGCTTTTCTATAAATCCAAGCACGAAAATGAAAACGTTTCAGAGAGTATATCACGTATAATGAATAGAATATGGAATCAGCTTATTAACTTAACACCACTTCAGACATTTTTTAAAATCATATTAATATTCTTGAGTAAAAATAATAATGAACAAAGAATTTCAATATAATGAGTACAAAATAGGTGGGACAATGAAGTTATGATATTTCAATCCTACCAAGAAGCTATGATGGTCAATCCTTGCAGATTTTCTTCTGCACTGAACGTAAATGACTCAAACAGCAGCATACTTTATCAACTAAAATTACTTAGTGACTCTGAATAGTAGTTAAAAGATATAGAAATTTAAAGGCAACCCTTAAACAAACATTGGATTTTAAGAAGATCACTTAATTACTTGCTTTTTGATAAGGGAAGATAAGGGGAGGAAAACAGACACCCAACAAAATTATTATCAGTAAGCAATGCTACCCATTGCCTCTGCAAACATCATTGTTCTTTCTTTGGTTCTGCGGATAAAGCTCCATTTTCTGCTTTTTGACCAACTGCTCTTCGTTCTCGACTGGCCATAATTGCCCTTTAAAAGCAGTAACGAATAGCACAAGTACAAGAGAAGTACAAGTACCACAAAAACAAAATATTGTCAGAGAAAACAATGAAAGAGTTCAATTGGAAAATTTTACCTGTGTCTTCAACACAATTTTATTCTTAATTAATTGATTAAAGTTACAGAAATGACCAACCGAGACATTGCATCCCAAATTCCGCCCATAAATACGGCACAAAAAAGATTCTCGAATGGTGCAAAAGGATCCCGAACGTTTAGTAATACGGCGCTTAGCTTGAAATAAACAAAAAAGCCAACAATGCCCTGCAAAAATGAAAAAGTGCTCACCTAATCCGTAAAACACTGAAAAGCCTAGATGAATAGGAGAGATTAAAATTTTTTGCATTTCAAAAAGGCTTCAATAACTAAGTGTTGATATTCTCACTAAATGACAAGTATCTTTTAAAAAATCTTTTGAAAAAGGATTAAATTAATAAAGATCAAACTTCAAACTTAACTACTTGTGGACCCATGGAAAGGACTATGCCATAACATAACTTAATATACTTAATAAGTGTTGAAAGTAGAAAGCTTAAAATAAAATGTATCCAATGACAATGTCGAATAAGTAACATAAGTATCTCATGTTCTATGTCAAATACTTCATTGTTGCTTATTTAACACTATATCAAATGTTGTTTCATGACAAATATACAAGGAAAATGGATATGTTTAACGAACCAGATAAATGATGTCGTGCGGAGCAGAGATGTATCGGGAATGTCTGTCAACTACGAGAATCACTGACGCAACGCAACATGCTTTAGTTGAAAAGGATGGCCGAAGTACTTCGTTATGTGCTGGTATCCATACGCCTCTCACTAGCTAAAACTTTGGTTTTGATTTCGACTTTAAAATCCCATATATAAACACTTATAGCATGTCTACATAAGCTTGAAGAAAATAAATGAAGAAAAACTAGAAAATCGCTGTAACTAAATGAAATTGTAGGGACATCAATTTTTTCCCTGTCTTGTGGAACAGCAACATAAACATCGTTGAAAATAAACGAAACATAGTATCGTGGAAGAAAAAAACCTTACATCATACCTAAAGATATTAACGTGATGGAAAATCATTTTTCCTTTATAGCGAAGATAGCAATTCCCTACAATTTATTTGGCTCATTACCAAATAAACAATGATGTAATCATATATTGAATACATCATTACCTGTTCCAGTGTTCGCACGATTCCTGAACCAGCTCCTTTCGCTGTTCCGACAAGGATATGTACAAGATACGAACTTGGGTACAACTTTGATGCATGCGACACACCATGTGCTACCTGTCAAAGATCATATGATTATAAACTAAAAGCTAACAGATTGAAGAAAAACAATGTAACCAGGTAGTTCTCTTAATTGAACCTAAAAAAGAAATGAATTTAAGTTTCACAAGAAAAAAGACCTTAGATGTTCTTCGAACTTCTTTCAGTACAGATAGCACGATTTTGACTGGCAGAAGCTTTGATATCTTATAGACTATATCAAATGGGGAATAGAACACAAAGTACCAAACAATAGTGGCCTGAAAAATATTTTTATTCATTAGTCAATTGATGAATAAAAACTGAATTACCAATAATCATCAATTTTTGACGTAGAAATACAATATTATAAAGATGATGTTGACTGAGACATCTAAATATAATGAATCATGCAGAACTAATGTTCATTAACTAGTAAAAATGCAAGTCGGCGCAATGTTTTATGAGATTCGGTGCTTCAGCTTCAAAGTGAAGAGCATTACTTTACAACAGTTCTATTTAAGCATAAGTTATGAGACAAGTAACCAGCAAAATGTCATCGTGTCGTTTAAAGGGTGCGATGACTGGTTCACCCAAAAGAAAATTAGCCGAGATACTGCCAGCAAAGCACATCAGCATCGACGAAAGCCAACAACTCAACGGATGTTTTCGGGAAAACAATGATGCACCAGTCGCTAAATCATCCCGAACTGATATTGTCATCTGAAATAGAAGATTTGAATTAAATACTGCGAATATATAAATGACACTGAACAAGTTAAAGATTCAGGTGAAAAATTGGAGATATATTGCATTGATAGTTCGAAGAATAAAGGGAGGAAAAGTTCCCATCACAGCATACTTTCTTCTTTCTATCCATTCTAGGCCAGACAGTTAATGTTTATTTTACTCTTACTTATACATAATCTGCTCGCGGTACTGCATATTTTAGATTGAGACGAAACATAAACATCTGTCTGACTCCTTTAATTTTCTACATGATTTAGGTTCAAACTTCATTATACATAGCATATGTATCAGAGCAATGGAAAACTATTTTTAGTTGATTTTTTTTTTTTTTTTTGGGATAGAAAGTCATACTATATATTCTTCGAAATGATTAATTCAATGAAAATAGTACAATGAATAAATGTGAAAAAAAAATGAAGGACACATCTTTCTTTCAAACATATTCCTCAGAGAATGTAGAAGATTATACAAACGATATAAGGAAGAATAACTAACAAGTATATAATGGGCCAGATCAAAGTATGGATACATTTTGAGGCGTTGTACACGGCTAGCGGCACCTGTAAGGATTTCCTGATCCATCTTGACGTAATCCATGACGGACATTGCATTAAATATCGGTTCAATAATTTATATATGGATCAAAACAATCGCACTCTCACACTTATTCGTCGTTTCCTCCTAGCACAAACTAATCTGAAACAAAACAGATAAAAAAACTGATCGAACGAACAATACATACCATGTTTTATGATGTACTCGTGATCGTACTGTACGACAATAACAAACCTCCGATTTACGAGAATACGCGAAGATTCACTTCCGTTAATTTCATTAATTTCGATCTATATTCCAGCTACATAAATTCATCTTATTAGTAAGGAATATTTTCAATCAATCCAATCAGCATTTATCTCAGCAACAAAATAGCGAAAAGAGCTACACTAAGCGAAGTTAATTGAACAGAAAGACATTTTCTCTCTCTCTCTCTTCTCGTCATCACTTTTCTGCTGTGTACGAATCCGACAAGGCTCCAAAATCATCACCAATACAAAAGATATATCGACCGATTGACTATACTGAATTTCGAATTAAAACTGAAAATCACTCACAACCCAGTAAGATATGCTGTCTTCTAGGACATATATGCTTTTATAGGTTGACAAATTTCTTTCATTCATTACTGATAACACCAAATACATAGCTATGTGTTCTTGAACTGATAACAGCTTTAAATCTATCCGTGCATGAATTCGATGGAACTCCAAACGTATCAATATATTGAACAATACCTAACTTCAGCATTGTAATGCACTTCTCTCTCATTGGCAAGGATGTAATGATGACCACCGTGATGATCGGAATCAAATTTTGTGTGGGCGAAAAAAGAACTTTGATGGAACAGTGACTTTAAAGGCTTGCGAAAATATTGTATGTCTCGCAGACACGTAATCATGTCTACATATCGTACCATAAGAATCCTGCACATAAGCTGATTACTTTTTTCACAATTACAATCACACAAATCATCGAATTCATCGCTCTTTCGTATGTTACTTATTGAAATTTCTCGCATAAATATCCCACAAGATGAGTAAAGTTATTCCGAATTCACGAACATATAAGAATTGCCAGAATATGCAATGAATTTGTTATAAATAATGGATATGGAATAGTGTCAGCAACAAAGCCTATTAAAAGTATAAAAATTGAAAGACAATTCCTACCGGATAGTATTATTTCTTATTTTTGAAAATCAAATTTAGTTGGGTTGTTTAATAAGTCAAAATTCCCAGCTCGACTATATTGACACTAATCCAATCTATTATATCACTGCATCCATTTGCTTTAATTCCTATTAATTTCTTTCAATCATAACATTCCTAACCAGTTTAACCTTCAATTGCACAACTTGAAAAGTTTAGCAAACATTGCCTCCTGTATGAAAATATACCTGAACGATCCTTTTTTTTTTCAGTTCACTCATTATATTTGAAGTAATAGTTAGTATAAAAAGGATGAAAGTTAAAGAAAGCTTATTTCTGCTTCCATTCTTTAGTAATAACTATTTTTATGTAACCTTTAGTAATGGCCCAGAGAGGAAGGTTATGTAACTTTCAGTACTAAAGTAGACAGTACGTCACCATGATAACGATTTACTAATAAAGTCTTAATAGAAATCAGCACAAAAGGAAGATATTTTTGATAATATCATGGAGAAAAATATGTACATATTCATAGCAATATCATTTGAAGCCTAGTAGAAACGAACAAAACTGAGAATGAACGAGCATTATTTTATCGCTAAAAGATATCGTTAATTCGAGAATAATTAGACTAAAAGATTAATTAGCATGTCGAGAACGAAAGTTACGGAATGAGGGAAAAGACGAATTTATTACTGAAATGTTTAAGGAACACAATATAAACATTCAACTTTACTATTTATACAAATGAGCAGGAAACATTTGAAATATATTTCTTTCTCAATGAAAGAGGAAAGAGAAAAGGATATGACCGATGAAACGAACGTGAGGTGCTTGCTCGAGGTGCAAGAAATAAGAGAAATGCAGAATGACTAAGGTAGGGGAATGGAAGAATATACGACAGCGCACACTGGAAAAAAAGAAGACAAGATGAAATTTACTAAAGATGCTAAGATGATAAGGATTTTTATGACAGTTGTTAAGAGGAAATAAGTGAGGAAAATTAGAGAAAAAGGGCGTCGTTTGTAGCCAGAGAAGCAAGCTTATATTAATTCGCTTCATTTCACTAAATGCCTCTATCATAAAAAGCATCGCCTTTGTCCACAAAATATCCTAACCGATGAAATTCCACACGAATATATGTGTATGGATCGATTTTGAACTCTATTTTATATGAAACATATGTTCCAATTTTTATACGTAACGGTAAAATTTGATTTTCGTAGTGGAGAAAAATTAATTTTTAAAATAATTAGGAACATTTTTGTATTTCTTAATTAATTGATCCTTTTGTAAAAAATATATCTTCTTGAGCCTACTTTGCCTGAAAATAATTCGATAAATGGAAGTCAATCATCACCAAATCATTTCTCCTATTTTTCCGCTTTAACTACTATGCAAATAGCTAAAGCTACTTTTAACCATTCCATTATACATAAGGTATGTACAGCAAAAGTGACTTTAGCTATTCTTCTCCATTTCAACTGTCTTTTCAATTCTTAATGTGGGAATAAATAAGCCAAGCAAATTATAGAAAATATGGCCATCTCAGTGTAATAACAAGATATTTGCTTTCATATTAAATATTTTCCTCTTTCCAATTTTCTATATGCTTTAATATTTCGTAATGACGGAATAAATCAGCTAAGCGAAACAGAGAAACTGTGGCAAGATTTTTTATCCAGGCAAATTCTTTACTTTCGTTATCTTATTCAGTTGATTTAATTCAAAAATTTTGGTAATTTAATTGTTTCATCAAGATTTTGAATTGATGAAAATAAAAGAGACCAGTTTCTTCGATCTATTTTTCATTAAATTTCTCTTACTCCTTACCATAGTCATGCACCCTGCTGAAAAAATCAATAGTTACGTCTAATTCCTTTAAAAAATCATGGTCGTTTAAAAATTTTAGAAAGTCTTGAAATTTGAAATTCACAAAATAATTTTATACAATTTTCGTATCAAAATTCTATGAGACTTATAACTGAAATAAAGACCAAGGCCTAGTTTCTCCCTTCACCTCACCTGTTAAGCTATATTAATAAATAAGATTATTTCTAAGACCTGACCAAAATAAGAACTTGCCGTCCTTAAAATGGTGTTAGATATCTTAACAAAAACAGATGTTAGGAAAAGCGCTTTATCAAAAACAGATGTTAGGAAAAGCACCTTAAAAATTTCTTTCATGCTTTTATTATAATCCTGCATCACTTCCATCAGGGCTATCATTGCAGATGAAATCACTGACTGCTGAAATATTGCATGGATATTCTTTGATCAAAGTAATTGCAATACTTTCGAAAATTCATCAACAAATAAAAAAGTTTGAGTAATTTCTGAATCTCAACAATTCTTTTGTATTCAACACTTGAGATTTTAATGTGCTGAATTCATTAATAGAATCTAGAATTTGGGTTTTTTTCTAAAAACGCTTTCATTTAGTAATAAAATTAGAAATTAGAAATTTGCCTTACAGATTCCTTAATTTCGTCATCTAATAATTTATTAGTTTTTTCAAATTCTTCTTGAAATGTGGTTTCGGCGCGCTCCTTCATGGCCTGCAGTGAAAATTACATATAGAAAGAATAAAGATATCGGATTAAGACCATAAACTTCGTATATACACTCACTGATATTTGATATTAGAAGTCTCTGTAAAATCCTCCTAAAAACAGAAATCTACTTGAACTTCGAGATCATCCGGTTTTCTTCGTAATTTATTGATGGCACAATCCAGCTCGTCTCGCTTATTGTTTACAGATTTCAACTCCTTGCTCACATGTTTAGCATTTGTCTGTAAGAAATTTATATTTTTTTGAAATACTTACTATTCATTTTCTATGCTATAAAAGTGACAATTCGAATAATTACAACAACCGTTTCATCTCCCATTCTATCAAAGTTACCTCAATCCACTCTTTCATCGGTTTTTGCACCTTCTCTAACATATTTGTTCGAAATGTGCGATGTTTTTGACCAGCGTTATCGAATACTTCTTTGGCTTTTTTTAGAACTACTGCAAACGAATCATTTTCGATCTCGCTACTATATTTATAGAGCGCTTGGCCAACTTTTTCATACTTATTCATGCCACTATCAATTGTATCTTTTGAGATCTTTTGTTTCAATTCAGTTGCCAAATTATCCTATAGAAATAAAAACCATGCGACATAATTAAATGGGCTTTTCGAATTCCTAGGAAATTCTATTTGATTAGATAACTTAATTTTTTTGGATTTCTGACCGATTGAAAACAGACAGAAAAGAGCGGCGATTAGCTGCTTTGCTAAGCGTAAAGAGCAATGAGTAATAATATATCGTTGGTGGAATAAAAAAAAGAATGATAGATACTCGAACAAATATAACTTACAGTGACCAGCGTAACTATGAGACCGATTAATTTTTCCGTTTGTTTTTTGAAATTGTTGAAAAGTGAAATTTTCTCTTCATAATCCGCACAGTATACCGTTTTCGAACCACCAATCAGACGATAAGCTGAAGCCTTTACTTTGCTTGTCATTTGGCTTGTTCACTTTGTTGGAATTGAAATATCACTATATTGAAATATATGAAATATCACTATCCTGCGATAATCGTAATATATATAATACCTTTATGTAAACTAAAAATTAAAACATTCCAATTTCCTCTAAATGCAAATGCATTATGGATTTTTTAATCTCATAATAGCTTTTCACTCTCAACCTAATCACTTTTTCAAGAAAAAAAAAGCTTTAATTTATCAATTTAACTGTTAGGTGAAATTTCGTACGTTAATATATCAATCGAACTAATCAATACTACCGGAGAGGAATTGCTAAAAGCAAAAAGTTTGATCTGAGTAATGAGATAGAAAGCCTGATAGAGTATCATAGTTGATGATACATCTGCTATGGCACATATCACCTACCTGTCAGTAATGTTTAGTACTCAAAAAATGATTTACAAAAGAGCATGTTACTGTATAAATCCGGGATTAATTAATTAACGAACTTATGCATAACGTATGCTATCAGTAAACGTGAGCAAACTTTATCCAAATCTTTCAACAATGAATGAGACGGTGATTTTTCATTGTGCGAACTATTAAATTAAGCACTGCATTACAGGTTAAATTTACGATTGTTAATGAGCGGCACGGTAAATTAATTTTACGTCTTCAATTGTTTTGTGTGTGTATGTTTTGCATACGTGTCTCATTTCATTACGAATTTAAATACTGCGCAAAATTTAACTTAAATGGAAAAGAGTGGAAATATAAGGAAGATTTGAAAGTTTTTAGCGAAGTAAGAACGAAAAGGCGAAAAGTTATGTCAGTGAGGTTATGTGAAAAGAGCAAACGAATAGTTCGTGAACCGTGGCATCGTTATATCCTGCCGGGATATGACGACGAAGATGGTTTTCCGGAGTACCGGTTTAAGTGGATATTGTTCGGTGAAGCTATTTTCTACACATCAGTGGATATGTCCATTCACCCGATGGCTTTCTCGTGTTTTTCTCGAGCAATATTGAGGTAGATTTAATTTTTAGTATTCAATTTCAAATTGATCAGAATGATTGTTCCATCACAAAATTTCTTTTTAGCTTCCTCAATATTGCTTTCTTCTCTTTGCCTGTTTTATCATTCTTGATTGCGCAGATTTCATCGGATTCTATCTGACGACGTTAGAAAGGGTTCGAAATGTAGAGAGTAATGATGACAAAATCTTGAAACTGAGTCTGTAGGAAATTAGCTGCTTATGCTATAATGCTTTCTTAGGATAGATATGTCTGCTATATTCAATCTTTATTACTATTGACCGCTCTTTGATGTTCGCGGGATCAATTACATTACTAAATTTGTAACGGCTGTTTGGTTGTTACAAATATACTAATATAATTGAAAGTCCAATCAGTTGTCCCTGATATTCTTGGGTTTCTTTTAAGTGATAGTGTGACAAGAAAATTGAAGTAATAAATTGATATTTTTCTTTCCTTCCATTTAGTATCCTATTTCTTTTTTTTCCGTCTCGTTTTATAACATCATGCCAAGTTTACTTTTGTTCCTTATTTTTAATTTTTTTCTTCATTTTATATCAGCGATACTGATTTACTGTCGCTTATTAATGAACCATCCATTGCATCGAGTTCAAATACCGATCCAGTTTTGGCCGTTACCGAATTTGAAGTAAAAGATGACGAAAATGGGTACGATACCGACGAAGATATCGCTCGAGGTGTGTGTTCCATTATCTTCCTATTTTACTAATACAGAGTAGGAATGTATGGAACTTTGATGTTCCATATTGAGTCATGGCTGAGCATGGGCTTTTATAAACAGAACCTGCAATGTTATTCGACTTAATGCCTGTTTATAGTTTGCTAGTATTCTTGCAATTATATGGACTTTTTTTTCATGGTAATATGTGACAATACCTTTTTGACTGGCTTTCAAAGCTTTATGGAATATTCTTGACTACCCAATCATTCCATTTTCCTCAGTCGAGAGCGACAAGAGCTTATATCCTACTGTTCTATTGGATAGATTTTATTTCACTCTACAATTTTGTATTCTAGAAATGGCAGCATTAGATTTGCCCACATCTTTCGGTAGATCAAGTCGTAAGGGACGAAGTTGTCGTTGTGAACGAAAATACAGAAATTATATTCGTGAAAAATCACCGCACCACGAGTGCTTATCAGACTATCTGTTTTCCAATGGCATGTATCTGGAGCGAAAGTCGTGGTTCCATGACTATCGTAAGCGATATCGTTATTTGTTACCGAAGACCTGAAGTCTTTATTTAATAGCCGAAGCTGTTCGTTACCCTTGTTGCTGTAGCTCTACTATTTTTATTTCATAATATGGAATTCCCTTTGTCCTTTCAATAGTTGCTACCTTTTTTGCTTCAAGTTTTATCTTTTTGTATGATTTTTCATGCATATAAGTGTAAAATTTTTATTCATGTTGATTTGTTCATCATTCACTAAAATAAGTGAAAAGCAATAAAAGGTGAATAATCACTTCTTGTTGTTCTCTGATGTTGCGAAGAAAAACATCGGTTAGTAGGGATCCTCTAATGCCGAGCAAAATTGATTATAACCCGGAATGATTACCACACTTTAACTTAAATGGTTGATCTCTTTTTTAGAAAGATATCATTGAAAATTCATTGTCATTAGTTTTCATTTCTTTTTTTTATATTTTGAGATATTCTGCCATTTTATAGATATTTAGATATTTTGTGCATTTTGTGATACGTGTGGAGCAGTTAACAAATACTGTTGTTATGATGGGTCTCTAAGTTTTGTGAATGATTCTTTTGAGGCTCATTTCTGACAAAATCGGTTTATTTCAGCAGAATCTTTCTCCACAACTCAAATAGCTGAAAGTTTTGACAAATATACAGATCGCAATTGTGCACCATATGCTTTGTTGAAAGAACACGAGCAAGCAAGCGTATCTTTTTCTATTTCCATATAACATAAGCCATATTCATATCCATGTAATTTACGTGCATAAGAATAGTTCTTTGGTTTGCATACATTTCCTGTTAATTACTGGGAGTCATTACTGATATTTACAATTGTTTGGTACAGGTAAAACCTTTTGTGATTGTGAAAATTCCTAAATAATATCGTAAAGTTTTTATGCTTAACTGTTTTAATCATAATGGTACAGTTGAACATTCGGTATGGTGTGTTTTACTCATAATGGTGCTGTACCATTAAAAAAGGATTATCAATCTTTCAATCTAATAATAATCAATACTTAAGGATCGGTAGTTCGGGTGAATTCTCTTGGACTTATTTCCTTTCTTGTTTTTATGTACTAATCAGATTTACACGAGCAAAAAAAGGAATAGGTTAACAAGAGTAGGTGAAATATGGGAACCTTTATTTAAAATAATTGTTATTTGTTGGCAGGTGTTCTTCCAATGATATCTTAGAACATAAAATTTTGTTAATTATGCTATTTGCAGCTTATTTCAGGCATTTTTCGGTGTATCCTATTCACAATTAGATCATGAAGAGGAAGACTGCTCAGGATGCTGGTTTCATTTGAGGAACGGTTCAATTAAGGACCAAATAAAAGGAAGTCATATGGGTCAGGAAATGGAAACCTCAGTTAAAGATGATAAAAATCAATATCCGGCTAGTGATCAAGACAAACAGTTAACTGCAGATGACTTATTCAAAACCAATAATGATTGGAACTCACTTTATTTAAAACATAAGGAGGCCGTAGAAAGTCGTATTGCGAAAGATTATGAGAAATATACAAAGGAATCAGATAAACGGCGATGTTCAGAATTTTCAGATAAGGTTTGTGATTTTTTAATTTTTATGGGTTCCCATCATTTGGAAAATAGACTTATAGCTTTTCGTGGAAAATTGTAGCTTTTCCAAAGATTTTCAAACATTTTCTTAAACTTTAGTTGACCTCAGTTGGTTTAACTTGCAAAAGGAAAGACTCATCTAGTGATGAGGACGATGATGATCATTTGGAGACAGGTATTCCAGGATTACAAAGGTTAGTGTGCTCCACTTTGGTTGAATTTCTTAGTACAATCGTTTAGCGAATAATGAAAAATAAAAATATTGAAAGTGTGAAGTTTTATTTAATATCTATGTTATGTAGTTCGCGTTTCTCGGGTTTTTTGTACATATCTTGCTAACATTAAAAAGACCAATCAAAGTGAAATTAAGATAAATATATGATTTTCTTCTCTAATACTTCTTTACATTTTGCAGACAGCTTGGTTTCCATATCGCCGATATTCATTATGATTTTCAAATACCACCTCGATTTATCCAGAAAAACCGAAGAATCCATCAACGTACAAGTGAGACTGGGGATAATATTAACGTATGTTTTTCAATCTGGATTGATGAGGTTGAAAAAGATAGCATTAGTATAACTTCGGTCAAGCAAGGAAATGTCTTTGTAATCTTAACAAATACACCAAAACAGATTTCCATTTGATTTGCATTTCATAATTCATCGTTGAACAGTTCACGCAGACGTGTAATTCATCACATTTGTAAGCCTAAAGTATATGTACATATGCATACGCATTCGCACTCATCCTGTTGAAAGCTGATGTGAAGTAGCACAACGTGAATCTGTATGCTAATTTTTTGCAGGATTCCACCATCGTTGATGCAGAAAATGTTTTAGAATCATCGGACTTCCTTCTCAAAGATTTTGATTTTGGCTATAATGACAAACGCGACAAATGGTTGCTTGCAATGAATGCACTGAAAACATTCGTGGATGATAAAGTATATGTTAATTGAGAGTGCTTCTACATAACTTTCTGATAAATCCTGCAGCTTCAGAATACAAATGGTGGAACTTTTAAATGCAATTAACTTAATGGCTAAAAATAATTGTTTTGCAGGACATGCCTAAATATTACAATCAGCGTTTTCGCCTTTTCTCGAAATTGAACGAAGGCATTCTGATGGACCGTGGTGAGTACATAGCGTTTCTATTATAACAGTGTAGAAGTTTAAATTATGAACATCTTAATAATTGATAACAGGTATCTTGGAATGGAACATGCTTTAATTTAAATACATTTAACTTTCAGATATAATTAAAGAAATTAAAAATTAAATAATTGTAGAAATGATTTATAGTGTGTTTTATTGTTTGAAATTACTGAAAAGAATTATAGAAGGATGGTACTCAGTCACGCCAGAAAGAATTGCCGCTCATATTGCTGATCGAGTTGTAATTATGAAAGATACTATAGTATTAGATGGTTTCGCGGGAGTTGGTGGCAACTGCATACAGTTTGCCCTTAAAGGAGCTTATGGTATGCTTTTTCAAAATTAGATTTATCCAAATACTATAATGTTGGTTTCGCTATAGCTGAAGTAAAACCCCATGCAATATCGAAGCGGAATTTTTTTCTGTGTTTTAATTCACATGTACTTTGAATATTAAATTCTAATTCGGAATTGTTAATTTTGTATACAAATGGAAACATTGATCAGAATGACAGAGATTGCCTTTAGAAGGTAATCACTTTCATTTATATTTTTCTTCTCTTTTACTAAGAAAATTTCCATATATTTTACAAAATTTTATTATTTACAGTGATTGCATTAGATATGGATCCTATTCGATTACGTTGTGCAAAACGAAATGCTGAAATTTACGGCGTCGCAGATCGCATTAATTTTATTTGTATAGATTTTTTCAACTTTTGTAAATTTCACTGCGACAAAGTGAAGCAGTTGAAAATGGGAGTAAGAGAGAAACAAAATGATACATTTCGATCTCTTGGATACGATACTTCAAAGCTATGGAAAAGGCGAAGAATCAAGAAGAAAGTTGCGGATGATTTTGAACAAGTTCAGAAAATTGAAAAAAATGATGGATTTGAAGTGGTGGAAAAGACAGAAGCTGAAAAGACTGAGATTGAAAGAACCATACTTGTTGAAATAGATACGGATGACGAGGATGATTTAGGGATTATTATCGACAATTGCCAATACATGCCTCTTTTTGATGCCGTTCTGCTCAGTCCACCGTGGGGTGGACCTTCTTACCTTAAGTCGAAGGTCAAATTTAAAAATTTTCAACTAAGTCTCTTAGTCTGGCAGTTGGTTAATAGTGCCTTATAAAACAAGTTAAAAGTAGGTTTAAATTTTGAGGACTTAAAAAAAGGCACAAAAAACGATTAAAAATTTGCATTAAGATTTTTACGCTTGAATAAGGTAATCAAATTCGATTTTAAAATTGTTACAGCTGCATATTTTTTTTTATAACTGATGTACACTCATTAATATTTAATTAATGACCTTTGTGGAATTTTTTTCTCTGTTACTCAGAATAAAATGCTATTTATTTTGCAGTTATTCAGTTTGAAGAATATGGAACCGAAGGGAGACAAAATTTTCCGAATTACGCGGAAGCTAACACATAATATTGCTTATTATTTGCCAAGACAAACGGATGTGAAAGAGGTTTGTTTTATATAGCTTCAGTCTTTGAAGATAGACTGAAATGTGAAAAATATCAACATTGTTGTCGGAGATATTTGTTCTCAAATGCGCTTCACTTTTTTTGCGCTACAAATGCTCAAAAAGGAAAATAATTAAACATCTCCTATTTTACAGTTGATCCGCTTATCGAAGGATACTGGAGGGATGGTTGAAATTGAACAGGCTGAATTAAATCGAAAAGTGAAGGCAATAACGGCTTACTATGGCGAGCTTGCCTGTAATGCTTCTTGGTAACTCTCTCGGGTGATGATGATATTTCACTGCTGAATTTTTTGTTATCTCATATCCAAGAAGTGTTTAAAACGAAGGGTTATGCTAACATTCGGTATCAGCTGTGAAGATTTTTGACATTTCATGGAGTTTCTATTCTTGCTGTTTTGCTTATATACATAGTGAAAAAACAGATTTGTTTATATAGTGTAAAATCAAGTCAACATTACGAAGAATCCCATGTGAGTAATTTTCTGGAGAAAGTTGCGCTATTTAAAGCATTCTTTACGAAAGGATAAATCTTAGACTTTCGCTGATATATCATGATTCATGCATTTTATGTTAAATAGTGGACTGTTACCGCTTTTGCATAATTTTTATTTTTCATCATCATTCATGAATTACCTCATTACTATTTCTACTTAATAAAACAAAATTATCGAAGAATGTAACTATAAATGTGAATCACAAGCTATCTGTAATATATTAGTTTAATGTTAGTTTATTTCTAATGCTTGAATAGGTAAGATAATTCCATACTATGGGTTACCTATACTATAGAACATGCAGTGCATGTTCTTTTGCTGTAGACAGTGCAAAGCTGGAAGGTTTATTTGGGTGCCATCTAACATGACTATTTCACAAACTCTAATTTGCACTATATGAAGTGTTTAGCCTTGCACTTTCACTCTTCAGTGCAAAAGACTTGATGGGCGAGAAAAACTGAGCAACTATCAGATGCGAGAAATCAATGAATCCAGAAGTGAGGGTCGTACTTTTACAATCACAAATGCCGCCTGCCACCAATACAAAATCTCGACTGAATCATTCATATCGTGAAAGAAAGCGAGAAAGAAACGCGTATCGATTAATTCTAGCTGTATCCATTCAATTCAACAGAAAAACTGACTTCATAACGTACGTGATGAGAATTATATCATTTGTTATACAAAAATTTAGCGAAAACTCAAATAAATTAAGATTATTCTTATACCATTCATATAGGAGATAGCTCCTAAGAATCGTGTAGCTTAGGCATATTACATACGAATAGGAGAACAGATTGATCACACAATCGATACTGTTCGTTTCGTCCTACCTCTTAGTATTTTTCGAGATTGAAGCTAATAGGGCTGCAGAGAATAAAGCTATTTCCTCACAGTTATCGACATACAACAAAGTAGAAATCTTATTTATCTTGACGAAACCTAACAATATAATATTTCACGAGAAATCTTTTTCTTATTGCACGGCTTTATTAGTGCAGTTGACTCGTAATAAACTTTTGGTACCATGTGGCAAAATATTTAGAACAACCTGAAATATTTTAATCATTTGTTTAAATAAAAGGCAACTAGAATGCAAAATGTGTGGAGAAAAAAAAGAGTGAAATATAACCTCATCCTGTATCTTCCGATAAATTTCTTGGATGTCAATATATGGCAAAGTTATTTTAATCATCCATATCGCTTCAGATAAGTCTACAGCATTTCCATCACTATCTACATATTGCAATTCCGGAATTGGCCCTTGGAGCTTTAGAATGGATGACATGCGAACTAAACAACATGTAACATTACAAAAAAATTCGAATAATAATGTTACGTACTGTCTAAGAGTAACAATATCACTGAAACACTGAACAGAACTCGTTCCTAAAATCAACAAAACTCTCAAACGCCATGATCATTAACCCAGTCATGACAGAACTATTTGGTTATCGTAGTATCTTACTATAACAGATTTGTAACATCTTTCAGTTTAATGGAACACTTTGAAACAGAATCCTTGGTGATCTGAAGCCTGATTGTTCATCAGATCATCAACCATAAAAATTATTTAGCTACTCAAACAAAGACAGGAACCAAAACTCCAGAGGAAAAACAACAAGGAAAAGCTATCCTATCTCTCATGGTTACCACTCCTCCATTAAATAATTTTTTTTTTCTCAAACTAAACAACCGTTCAGTAATTTGTTTGGAAATGTAACACATGAGTTTGTTAGTTACCATCAAGACTATCAAACAACGATGTTTACAACAAATTTAATAGGATATTATGAATGCGAAAAGCAAACAAGCATTGAAAAATTACACCTTCTAATCAGAAAGTAATACCAATGAACAAAACCTTAGAAACACAGTGAATGATAAAACAAAATGAACAAAACTTTAGCCCACTTCATATTGTGTAGATCAAACTGTTTTAACAAGATATCAAAGAAAAGTATTTTTAGAGAGGCAGGAAAGAAAAGAAGAAAAGGAGGCTTGCATGAAAGTGTTCATGAGTGATCATTAACATTGTCATATATCCATAAATGTTCTTCCCGCTCAAATATCTTTTTATTCAAGCGAATGGAATAAATAATGTTCATAGTTGGTCAAAAGCTAACTTAATTATCAAGTATTAGTATAAATGAATTATTTCATCACATAAACATCTTTCAGAATTATAAATAAAATGGCCTAATCTCCTTTTACAAAAAACTAAAAATCGGAGACCTAAATTCACTTATCTTCAACTGTTATTGAAATATTCCCTTTGCAATATTCAGTTTTTATCCACATTACATATCATTTGGTACCATACTATAAATGACCAATATCAGTTACTATTACACAGGCTTGTAATCAAGTTTCGTCTCCAATCTCTTCGCGTCACCCACCTTACGAACTGCTTTCATGAAATCTTCGTCAATGACGTATTCACGTTCAGCACGAATCGCAAATAAACCTGCAGGATCAGAAGTTTATTTTCAAAGCAACCAGGCTATCGTAAGTTCGTACTACTAATTCACAAAAAATATCAAATTAACACGACTTTAACTTATTGATTTTCCTTTTTTGCAAGAACTAATGTCACATACAATCAATAACCTCAAGGTCGTATAGAGGGAAAAAGCCTAAATAGTTGCTATCCTTTTTTAGAAGGATAAACTTACGCCGACTAGAGAGTTTACGACAACTACTATCAATAAAAATACATAAAATTATGTGTTCAGGAAATTCTGATATCTACATGCTATATTAGCAATAAATTCTTAGAAAACAATAAAAGAACAATTGATTGAGAAAAAATACTCGAAAAAAAAAACTTTCAATTAAAACAGGATAAACACTGTTAGTGTAGAGTAAACACTCAATCACTACCAACAGTTAATAAAATTGAATATACTAAAGCTGCAGCTTCTTTTGGAAACCGATATATGATGATTGCGATGCCAGTAGTACTTGACAAATCAAGAGCTAAGACGGTTCAAACTAATCTCTGTGATCTAAACCAGAATTCAGCAATTCAAGCCTTCATAGAGATTTATACTTTTTAAGATATGTAAGTTTCGAAAATCAAGCAGAACCTGCTTCTGTGCAGACATTTCGGAGATCCGCACCGGAGAAACCATCTGATAACTTAACGACAGCTTCATAATCGATATCTCCGTGTTTTGTTATTTTGCTAGCATGAATTTTCAACACCTAAAAAGTTAAAAGTGAAAACATTGAACAGTGTATAAGATACCGCTGAACTTTTTCTTTTTTGAACCAGATATAATTTAAGATGTAAATAAATTATTTGGTTGAATAAAAATAATGCACTCAAAACCAGAATAAAAGAGGATGCACATAATGAATAACACATAATTTCTATCAGTGATAATTATCACTGAGTATTATAAAAAATTGTATTCTTATAGCATGATTTTACTGAAAAAGATAACTGCTACCTTAACTACTCTTTCACTCATTCTCGACTTATCAATCTAAGATAATTCTTAAAATCCAGTAGAAGAAAAAGCATACCTATTAAATATGTATGGTCTCAAAAAATGAAAAAAAATCACTTGAAAAAAAAGCAAAAAAAAAAACCACCTCAAGTCTACTTTGCTCATTCGGCAAACCAATTTCAATTTTTCTATCCAAACGACCAGGCCTAAGTAACGCTGGATCTAATGTATCAGGTCGATTTGTTGCCATGATTATCTTCACTCTTCCGAGTGAATCAAACCCATCCATTTGATTCAACAGCTCCATCAGAGTACGTTGTATTTCACGATCAGCTGACGTTCCTTCCGAAAATCGACGACCACCTATAGGATAAGATAAAGGATTAATCACAGTTTAGGTATAGCGGAACTTAATACCCACTTAAAAAATGGAAATCCTAAGTTATGGACTTAACCATCAGTAAATGACATGCCGAATGAACAAGTGATCCATATGATCAAAGAGTACAATTAATCCCTCTTCCAAGCACTAATGAAAGTCGAATTTTTATAAATTTACCAATAGCATCGATTTCATCCATGAATACGATGCACGGCTGATGATCGCGAGCATAGTTGAACATCTCACGAATCATTCTCGCTGATTCACCAATGTATTTATCAACTATAGCAGAAGATACAACCTTAAGGAAATTACAATCCAACTGAGAAGCCACTGCTCTGGAACAAATAAAATTTTAATGACCGTCAGAAACGTGAATGTATCTTTCCAAAGTGCACTTTTATAGTCGAAACTTTGAACCTCAGATCACTTACACGGAAATAACACTTTCAAGATACTTATAACCATAGGGTATAAAAACTAAAGAATGAAAGAATTACCTTGCCAGCAGAGTTTTCCCGGTCCCTGGAGGACCGTATAAAAGACACCCCTTAGGTGGAGTAATACCAACACGCCGGAACAAATCAGGGTTAATTAAAGGCAGCTCAACGACCTGAAATTGATGTACAAAATAAAAATAAACATGATGACCAACCGAACTTCTAACTACAAAGATAATTACAGATCTGTTCATATTCACTAACACTTTTAAGAAATAATCTGCTAACGTTTTCATCTGTAAGATATTTTAGGGATATTTCTGAAACAACCACTGGAAGTTTACCTACCTCACGTAGTTCACGTATTTGTTCGCTCAACCCACCAACTTCGGAATAAGATATATTGCCTGGATCTTCATGGCTCATTTTGTAGACCAGTGGGTCTACTTCTCGAGGTAACTGTCGCATTATTGTAAGTGTTGTCATATCCAGCGCAACTCGAGTACCCTTAAACATTTTCTTCATAGAAATTCTGCAATTGATAGGAATATACGGATAAGTAATGATACTTATTTGTACGCGTTAATTTATCATTTTACAATTAAAGTTTAGACTAACCGCAGGGAAACTGCAAAGCAAATAAGGCCGAAAATCATGAACAACTAAAAGAATGTTGACGAATAATCGTATTAAAATAAATGATTTGAAATTTTAATTATTAAAGTCTGAACCCCAATTCTGAGAAGGAATGATGCAAAAAACAAAAAACAAGAAAATCAATAATTTGTCAACAATGATAAGCCAATTATTTAATGATCATCATGGTAGCAAATAAAAAATACCTGCTTCAGCGCTCCCTTGTTAACTGATCGTCGGCAACCAACTACATATCGGGGCCCATTTGTAGCTTTCACAATAAATTTCTCTTCTGTTAACTGTTTCAGTACTTCACCAACTATTTGTCCAACCGATTGCAACGATTTTATATCATTTTCCGATTTATCGTGTTCCTTCTGAACTTCAACTTCCTGAAACAAAGGAAATTAATTTAAAAAAGAATGATCTTAACATTTGTTCGACAAAGATTCAAAACAATTAGAGTTTAGTCAAAGACCACAACTTCAAACTAACTGCCATCCTATATTCCATATTTTTTCTCCTGAAACATCAGAAGAACCTACTTTCTTTCTCAGCTGTTTCAAACGTTCCTCCACTTCACGATATTCGACAAGTTTACGGCGATACGCACCCAGCGCACGCGATTTTTCATCTTCAACTGTTGGAGCAGTTGTCTGTTCAACCATTTTTAGATGTCTGAAAATGAGTGTTATGCTTGGAATGAACTTACAAACTGAATAACACAATAATAAATAAGCTCATGGGAGTAACACAATAGCATAATTAATGACTGTTAAGTATGCAGTTATTTCGAGCAACATTCACAATGAATAGAATAATTGATTCATGCATATTTGGATGGAAAAATATTCGAACAGAATATCCTATTATGATTTATAATCAAAACCAGTCCACACTTGCCTTATTCCAACTAACCTCTTTATTACTTATCCCTAATGAGATATTTAAAGATTAAAAATGTTAAGGACACACTTTTTCAAAAGTTATTACTGCGTTGAAGACGCAAAACATCAAACATAGAAGGACAAAGAGATATGGAATTATGAACTGGGAAAGTAAATGCACGTAAAAGAGTCAGAAAGCAGAGAGAACATTTCGATCATAAAACAGAGGCATGGGGATTATGATACCTAAATAATTACATGAAGAGTATTTGAAATTGAAGTAATGTGAGAGAGTTGATCTATAAGAAAGTGATCAGTGAGAGTTGAACGTTTCACCTATATGTATTGGGGATAACAACCTGAGACTTGCAATTGGGTGACGAAGCAACCGATCTAAATTTTTATTAGAAAAATAAACTGTTGAGATCACGGAGAGCATATTTCCATTAAAATTCAGATGAAAATTTGTCAAATTCATATTAGGATGATAATGAACCTGTACTGTTTGATCGCTACACTGAAGATAAAAAGTCTGTCTCCCAAATGTGCCGAAGAGAAGTGCAGCCTAACGCGAATATACCCAGAAGAAAAAAATGTTGAGTAAGTGCAGCCTGGCTCGAATATCCTGGTACCACTAACTGAGAAAAATGTTAAGTGTAGCTTAGCTTGGATTTCTCGGTATCGCTAAATCAGAAAAACGGATGTACTGGTATCACCTGGTGAGAAAAACGTTAACTATAGCCTAACGGGGATATCCCGGTATCACCAAGTGAGAAAAGAATTTCCCAATAAATCTCTCCCACTTGCCTGCACCACAGCTTATACGCCTTCGCTGACATTACGCACAGATGTGCTGTTACTTTCACTCCCTGGCATCTATCGTTTGACGTGCTCTCTTCTCGTTGCAATGGTTCACGCTAAGCAACGAGACATTTACGTATGAAAAAAATATTATTGCGCAAAAGGGTTTGGATTAAATCGTATGACGGATCTGGCGCGAAAGGTGCCAATGTTTTTATCGTGCAAAAAAAAAGAAATAAACTCATCGCTTAACTATAAAGGTCAGAGGAGTGTAACTACTAGCTCTCGCAAAATTAGTAGATCCATCTACAACAGGACTCAACGATGAATGTCAAACATGCTGTTTTGGCATCTCATCCTCTAACTTTTACTCAATTCAGATGCGGATTATGCGAGATCTTTAGAGGAATTCGCTGAGGTTATCTTCTAAAAACTTACAGTCCTCATTCAGTTATTATAATGTCATGCATCAGAATGAAAATCGTTGCTCTGCTACATTGCAAACGTACCATCAAATTATTATGATTATTAATGGATAGAAATTTTGGTAACATTAGAAAAGTTATTTGATATGTTGGTGTAATAGCGTAAAGTTGATGAGATATTACTGTGTTAATATTTGATTTCCAAACTTTTTTTGTATATGTGTGGAAAAGTTGCTGTAATATGTAGTCTTAGTCTTTTAAAAATCGAATCCAAAATCAGCATTTTCCTTTTTTTCTCAGTGAACATTCTAGCACTTTTATTCTTTCTTCTGCATTTTCATTAAAGTAAACATAAATCTAAATTGGTCTCTGTGCGATTTTTATAGTGCTGCGAAAGACATTTTCATGAATATTTCTTTTTTATCGTACAGTTTTGCACAACTTGAAAATATTAGAAATTGTCTTGCAACGTAATCACGTCGTGCATTTCTCAATTGGTCTACATCATAGACAGTTTTGTTGACCAGTGCTTTGTTCCGTTCACCAATCTTCTTCGATTTCGTCTGGTATCCCCTCCTCTTCCTCGATTTGATTGCTCACTTTCTTCACATCTTCTTTGATAGCATCACGAATTCGGTCAACGGCTTTCTGGGAAACATATGTTGAAACCAGAAATCAGTTACAGTAATATCTATCTGTTCACGTAACTCGAAAACAAGTGTTAAAAAACCAAGAGTTTTTTCCTTGATCGTTCTACTACGCAATTTAGAAAAATTAAGGAGAAGTATCTACCGGCGGCAGCCATCCGTGCTGCGGATCCGCTTTTTCACTGTGTGCAAAGAATTCCTTTCGTACAATTTCTTCCGCAACTGGAAGCTTTACATCACATATGCAATACCACATTTGTCGTACGCGAGGAAGCTTTCCTAGAAAGGAAAAAATGTATGGAGAATTACATCCGACGACCAGAGAGTGAGTAATAGAATATACAGTCCAACATTGACCTCGAGTAGATGAATTAAAGAAGCTTCATCTACTTCATCTTAATTAAGTTTATTAGCTGGACTGGAAGCGGTTCCCACTCCTCCGGGGAAGGTAAAAAGATAGAAGTCATTTATGTTTTCGAAAATTTGTTATAAATTACCAGGTATATATGCAAAATCGATATGCTCATCTGAAAGAGAACCATATGTTGATGGGATCGCTGGTGCTAACGATGAAGCACTTGTGACCGAAACGTGACCTGGTCGTTCACTATTTTTCTATAATTTCCCAATTTATGTGAATTGAATTCAATTAATGTGGTCAGTTCTTACATGAAGACTAAGATTAAAATTTATTTACTAATCCTGAGTGAAATATATGATGGATTAGTGAAAAGGCTGTAGCAAATTATATACCCTAGAATATGGCTTTATATGGAGGAAGAGGCTAATTAAAATGAAAAAGCTCCGGCTTACAGTTACAATCTTCAAACGTTGCCTTTCGGGTATTTTAGCATGTTGTCGAAACGTCACCATAACTGACTGATATTGTTTTGCCTGCAACGATAATATATATATAAAAAGTCAAACAACATAATATTAATATAAAGACATACATTTGGATCAGTTCTTGGATCATAACCGAAGCGACACCACAAACGTCCCCATGGTCCATTTAAAATGTAAAATGCAAATTTTTGCAGCAGCGTTCTGAAAAATAAAATTGCAACATACAATAAGTTATTCAGCAGATAAATTAATGCATTACTTTTGCGCAGCATATTTCTGTAGAATAGTGTTCTTGTGGAAATCTATATATAGAAAATCACTTCCTTGTTATTTTGTATATTTTATTTTATAATTTGACAACAACTCTGTCTGATTCTTACTTTATTAAACCATCATCCAGGCCCGTTTTCTTAAGAATACCCACTCTGGTCCACATTGGTCGCTCTTCGAACAATTCCTGCAGCAAACGATGAGGCTCGTCGTTTTTACACCTATAAGTATCTTTGCAAAGTATTTTTACTTAAAATTTTTCTATGATCTACTCAGTGGTCCGCATCTTAAATTCAGTACAATGATCCAATCGCTCCCATTGCAATCTCTTTCAAGAATTAATCGGATTAGCTATGCTATTGTCATAGTTAAGCTGCACAATTTCGCTGACAGTATAATAGTGTAATTACCAAAAATAACAGTTTTAACATATAAAAAGCTTTTATGAAAACAGTAAGAATTTCTAATTACTTGAGAAGTCTTAAAGCTAACGGCTATTGAATTAGCTGTTCTTTTAAATTATTGAAGCATTAAACCTAATATTTGCATCATTGACTGCCTCTTCAGTAGGTTGTTTTGGAAAGTCAGCCGTTGAATGCACTGTTATAGATAATGCTTTCCTTTCTGATCGCAAACCTAGAAAATTAACATTTGAAGAATTTGAGTTAGTAATCATTCTCTGTGGTAGATTCTTTTTTATAACACCTGTAACACAGCTTTGCAAGATGCCAAATGATCTCATCATTTTCACTACACTTGCCATCAATTATATGTATACCTTAAAATTAAAAACTTAAGTCTGTCTTACAATGAGGACTGGATTCCCCTTCCTGCCATCAATGCTTCTCTTTTAAAAACGCGATTTCATTAAAGCACCAGCGAACTCTTAAAAAATCCATGGAATAGAAAAGAAGTAAACTAACTTTGTCCATGTCCAGCGCTTTTCCGTTTCACTTTCTCCGGTGAGAAATCAGTTTCTTTGCATAATAATTTGGATGATGGTATCGAATACCTGCAAATAATAAACTCAAAACCTAAAATAGGGTGTCATCTTTTCTACTGTTTAAAATTAACCTAATTTGATATTGATCAATATACTTATGGAAATGCAAACATATATTTATTGCTCTACATATCTCTAACATGAATGCAATAGTAAGCCCCATAAAACTTTGAATTGGCATATATATATATATATATCAAAAATTACATATATATATATTAAATGTTTCAGTACTGATATTTATATTTTCACGTGACTGAAATTCAATTGATACAATTATTAAGAAAAATGTTCTACCTTGAGAATTGATATGGAGGAAGATGCAAGGATGTACGATGTTCATTTTCAGGTTGGCTCCACCATGATAGCGCGCCTGGAAGATCTAATGGTATTAATTTCGGCACCTGAAAAATAAACTTGCATCTTTCACCATATCAAAATCTAAATTCGAACGAATTAATTGATGCTTTCGTTTAAATATAATAAAAAAATACGTGAAACTCCACTTTTTGTTAAGCTATTCCACTTACTCACTATTAAACGGCACTGCAGCTTTCACAATTTTTTGTTAAAGGAACATGTCTAATGCAATATAAATTTGAATGATATTTATGTTGCGAAAAGTTACAAATATAAACTTACTAAATCTTCAAAACATCCTGGAAATTTTTCACTCTGACGGATGGGTAAATAATGGAAATCACACATGGATTTGAAAGTGTAAACTGTCGAAACCTATAATTTTTTTAAAATTTTTTATAGAGTGTCTGAATCTCTGATTCCAAGAAACATTTGATTTTTTAGTATAGAAAAATCGAAATCTAAAAATAGAAATTTGAAAGTACCATTCCAATCACTTTTGCCTGTACACAGTTCGGATCAGACTTTTTGCGGCGTACAGTTGCAACACACAATACTGTCCCGGTACCGCCGAAAGACTTTTCGGCGGATCCTCGCTCTGATACTAAAGCATTTGCGTAGAGATTTTTCGGATGATGTCGCAGTTCGATCGGACGACCAGCAAAATGATTCTGCAAAAGACCAATGAATATTATGATTATTAAGAATTGTACGCAGCATATTAAAACTAATAAATACTTTGTGCAGATGATTCTAACAAGCCCTGCAGAACTTCGACAGTAAACAGTACTAAAATAAATACAACAGTAACGAATAATGAAATTAGTACAATCCAATATTATATCTAATGTTTTTAGAATACTTTCATCTGCCATAAGGGTATACGTTAAATTTTTAAATTCGAATATAAAATGACATAATCTCATAGCAATAACGTCAAGCAAAATATTATTTAGAAGCTTCGATTGATTTTTTTTTTCCACTTACCATGCTAAGAGTTTGAGCACCACCCAAAGTTTCAATCGCCTTCTCGGCATTTTTCACCACTCCCGGATATGCCACAACAACATATTCCGGTAACTTTTCCGTACTTGTTGATGGCCACATCTTCTATAGCACAATAACAAAACAATAAGTAATCATTCCTTGAAAGGAAAAAAAGCGATTAATAATGCAAATAAAGTGCTATTGGATAAGAAAACAACTGAAAATCATCAGCGATTTTACTTCTGGTAAAAATTGGATTAACTTCCGAGCAGTGAAAGGTGTTGTTCCCCGCAATAACACCTTTTCATTGCTCTTAAATTGATCCCAATTTCGATACAAAAACTTAATTTGTCTTAATTTCAACACAACAACGTAGTTTGTCTTAATTTCAATATAAAACCTAATTTGTCGTAATTTCAATTACAAAACCTAGCTTGTCGTGATTTCAATACAAAAACCTAGCTTGCCCCTTGAATCGAATTACCGGTCCGGAGAAAACATTAAGTACCAATTAATACCCAAAATATTACCAACAGAGAAAATTAGCGACAGTTTAAGATCGAGGTGGTATTGTTGAGGCTGTATGCAGTATGCTTGTAGTACAATGTGAACCGAAGAGTTGCATGCAACATGCTCTTGCGTTATTGTAAAAAGTATGCGACAATTATGAAATTGAGGTCATTGTTAAGGATACGAGGTCACGGTGAGGGTCTTTGAAGAGAAGAAGAGATTGGGAAGAATAAGAAAATAGTCCTGTCCGTAGTTAGGGAAGTGATTGAAAGTAAAAAAGATTCTGTTGTTGTTGAGGAAGCAGTAGAGACTGATGAGAGAGATATGGAGGAGGAAACAGTGATAGCTGATAATGTGATTATATTTGGTCAGTAGTTTGATTTGCAAGCCGAATAAAGTTGATACTGAAAAATTGTTATTATTATCGTAATAATAATGGTTGTTGTTTGTTATTATTGTTATTATTGTGTTCATTAGAGATTAAGAATTTACGCCCATATTAGAGTATAATGGATTTGATGAATAAAATATTGGATAATATAAAAGAAGCTGATTATAACAAACATTTATCAAGCACGAAAGGTTAGTTTATTTTTGTTTTATTTATTTTTGCGATCGGATGGCCTTTTAGGTATAATGAAAGAGTTAACTTTGTAAATACTTCCATATCTGACGTTGTGTTTGTTAATAAATCGTAGTATTTGAGGGTGTTTTGTTGCTGTTTAAAACGATAGATGAGATTTTTTGTTTAAGATAAGAATTCTGTAACAGTGGATTTAAAGTGGCCGCTTCTTAAGAAATCGATGCAATAGTCAAGGCTAAATAGAATCCAGTCCAGGCACCTTAAACTTCTGTAGAGGTTTTTTACAGATTACAAAACACTATTTGCCGAAAGTCTTTTGCATTTCATTCATTTACAAGGATTACCAGAGATACCTGAAGGTTATTGTTTGCGACCGTTGATGTCAACTGACTATTATCGCGGTTATTTGGAATTACTAGCGCAACTTACCGTTGTCGGTGATGTTACAGAGGAAATGTTTCTTCAGCGGTAAGTGGTGAATAATGCTAATTTCGAATTTAATTTCATAAATGTTCCTTGATTTTATGTTGTTCGCAAGAAATTTTTTCGAAGAATTCCTTAGTAAATTCAGGTCTCACGATAAATTTTTCAGGTTTTTCGTGGACCATTTTAACTGTCCATATATTCTATGATAGTTGTGTTATAATATCAACTTATATTTGTTCAGTGGAATAGAGTATAAATTGCAGATTCAGTTTGATGCGTAATATGTCACCTCCTACATACTACGTTATCGTTATTGAACAAAAAGAGTGAGTTTTTAAAGAGCAATTGATTTGTAGCAAAATTTCTGTAATTGGGAGAATGCAAGAAAGCTTCATTCTCAATTAAATAAACTTTATGAATTTTTTTATACTTTCCAGAAAGACTAACTTAAACATGTAAAAAAAAGTAGATTGAGTGAAACCCATTGGTTTCCAGAAGCTTTAAATAAACTTTTAAAGCAGTTATGCATTGTTACAATTCAATGATCTAAACTTTTAGTATTAAAGATCAAGTATCTCTTGTAGGACTTGAAAAAGAAGAAAAGGAGGATGAATGTGAAAGATATCACTTTTTTTTTGTTAACATGCACCACTATTAAAATATTACTTGCTGATGAAATGGTTACGCGCAGCTCGCTTATACCTATGATGTGATTAAAAAAAAGGAAAAAAAAAAGTGAGAAGAGGATTTATTGTTGTATATAGATTATGTTGAATTAATGAATTAGAAGTATTCTTAGAACAAGACGTATAGTGGCATCAGCAACACTTGTTTTGGAATGGAAATTTATCCACAATACTGGATGTCGGGGTCGTATTGAAGATGTTGTTGTGGATAAAAGCGTTCGCGGGCAGCATTTCGGAATGTTACTTAATCAGCATTTGGTAGCGCTGGCACGACATATTGGCGTTTATAAATTATCACTGGAATGTAAGGATGAATTGATATCCTTCTACGAACAATTTGGATTCAGGAAAGATGAGGGAAATTTTTTGGTTCAAAAATTTTGAATTCTACTTGAATTAGTTGAAATAATTGTGGATAAAATTAGATTCGAATTCAAGTTCGATTTGTTTTGAATTTTTGGTCTTGTCATTTATGTCATTATTTCTTTTATCATCTTTCTTTTTTCTTAGCATATGTAAAATTATGCTAGTGAAATTGAAAAAGAAATGGAGAAGAAATATGCGACAAAAAGGAAAAAGAAAAGTAGCCGAAAATAACTGTTGTAGTATCCATTGTGTTTGTGGTAGTCCAAATACTGCCTCTTATTTCGCTACTTTTTTTTTTTAAAACACTACATTGTAGTTTGCTGTCGCCTCACGCTTTTTATGTAATATATTTTCTTTCAAAAGGCTTTTGTTCCTCAACACGGGTAAAACATATTTAACCCGTTCTATTTTAATAAATACTACATGTTTATGACTCAATAGTTTTTAAAGTAATTTATTTATCCTGTTGTTCAGGATATTTGTGAATTGTTTTCTTCGTCTTTCTCTCGATTTTACTGAATTCTAATTTTAATCACGCAGGTTTGATTTCTGGGAATTATTAAAATTCGTTAAAGGGTGTTTTCAGAATGTTTTTTTTTTCAATACTAAAATTTAATCTTGCTTGGCTATTTAAACCCTTTGTTCTTTCGTTTGTAATAAATTTATCAATATCACATGCGTTATCACTACTGATGGGTTGAAAAACCTGATAGTGATTTCTGCAAGAAAATTTGATTATAATTAAATGAGTAAGACATGCTTTTGACCAGTTCTTGAGATTGTATTTTTCGCAAACGGATAGAACAGACATTCGAGGCGAGATGATAGATGATATTTTTCGTTTTCTTGTTATTCTCTTTAGCTTGTGTCTACTCTAGTTGAGCATAAGAAGCTAATAGTTTCCTTCATGACAGTTCGCAACTGGCATATTAGTCAGATATTTGACTACTGAAGATTCATGGAGCCAAATTTGGTATCTTTAAAAGATTATGTATTAGAAAAAGTGAGTGATAGATTACCGAATTCTCTCGAAGGCCACTGTTACAACTGTAACTGGAATTGCAACTAGGAACTAACAGGAAATTAGCTATATTCATTGAAATCTCTGATGATTTCGTTTCTGAAGAGATAATAGTTAATATAGATGATATTTTTGGCTTTATATTATTGCAGATTGAAAGTAGTCAACCCATGAAATGTCGCGTGTGCCCTTTCTCGCCTCTCTTGATTACAATTTAAATAAACGTGATAAGGATTGGATTTCTCATCAGCTACCAAAGGTAGCCTTTGCTATGGATTTGATGAAAACTAACTTTGTAAAATACATAGGAATAGATTGGACTCAATGATTGATTAAGAATATGATGCCGGCCATATAAAAATTTTCAAAAAATTCACTGCCGATAAATGGCTTATCTAGGAATTTATTTCTAACACAAGTCAGTCATAAAAGCTGTGTGGGAGCATTGATCAATTGGTATATGAGAATTAAGTTTTATTGGTTTTATTTTCATTTTGTGTGGTAAGCCATAAAATAGTATAATCATGCTGCGGATATTATGCGCATGGATTTCATGCGAAAAAGGTAGTGAGAAAATGTATATAACTTTTCCGTATAGGTAAATTTTATGCTAATAATTCATAGCATAGTTAATTATGAGATGTATGATAAAGTTGTTCTCTGTCCAAATCAAATCAGTCAGAATCAGTTACTTCAACTTAATGAGGTTTTTAAAAGCTTGTCCTTCTTTTAAGTACACGTGATGTGTCAAAATGTTCTGCTATTTAAGGAGAGCATTGAAATACCCCGTGAACATCTACCTGATCCAGAAACTGAAAATCTTCCATCGAGCGTCAGTTTTCGCCAAGTATGTTTTCATCAATTCATCTTTTAGATCACTTTGTAGTATAGTTTTCTTTTTTGTATTACCTTACTCATTCTTATCCTTTTCTTTTGATTCTTTGATCAACATTATCAATCTTTTCAGCACTCTTCTTAAATGTCCATTCGTTCCAGGAATCAACGGCCGAATTGGAAAAGCATTGGACTGATACAGGAATTGATCGCATACATTTAAACCGTCCAAGACCACCGCGTATCTGAAAATTATTTTTGAAATTATTTCTGTTTACAATTGAAATATGGGTAATGGGCAGAGCAGCAGTGATACTAACATTCTTTCAACACATTCATTTTTGTCGAATAAAAGATCAGGTGCGAAAACGAAAGGGAAAGTAATTGTTGTAAAGCAGAGAACAAACGCGGCAGGTCCGTCATGTACTAGGGATGATGAAGTGATAAAACGCTTCCTGGTAAGTAATTGCTTAAAATATCCTGATTCTGTCGTATGTCATGAACATACTCAGTGCAAAATGGGCCGAAATGTCCATTGCCATATATGTGTTTAATAAACATGTAAACCTCTATTCAGTGTATAGTTGTAGAAAATAATTTATTTTTCAGCAAATCCCAAAATTTTATCCGATTTTGAAAAGTTCATTGAATCAGCCAGGTTTACGTGATCCGCCGGAGACAATACTCAAAATTAATGCTCTTCCAATATTGAAATTTGCTTATCGTTTACAAGAGCATTTGTCAAGGTGTGCTAATACTGTAGTTATGGAACAGGAATCGTTGGGAAATTCGATGAAAGATGTTAGCAGCCTTAATTATTTTACTTTAAAATTTTTTCTGCATAATGAATTAAACACCAAACTTTACCAGTAATTCACAGCTATTCAATTCCTTCCAAAGCTGGAAAGAAAAAGTTTCACTTTACATTTTAATAGAATGATTTTCATGATAGTAGAAAAATTTTTTGTTGTCTATGACGAAGAAGAATACTTCGACAATGATTCAAACTATCAATAACTTAGCAAAAATATTTTGATGGCATAGCGGAAGATTGCTTAAAATTATTTTTAGAAAGTTGTGTATTTATGTTTTCAAACCTGGAAAGATCATTTTTTCAGATGGATCGCGACATTGCACTTTTGTTATTACAGTTTAATGATCGAAAGAGATCGATGGATCGTTTTCAGAATTATTTAGAAAAAATTAGTGATTTGCAAGCGCATGTTTCGAATTTGCGAGTATGTATACTTTATTTCAAAACACTAGTATGGAAGATTTTATAAAATAAATATAAAGTCTCGTCCAACCAGATCTTGAATCTGCAGCAATCATACTCTCTGGATGATCTGCTGAATGCTATGAGCTTGGAAGTGCTTAGAAGTGCTCGAAGTGTCCATGTTGCAGTACATTGTTAAGATTATTAAATTAATCCTATGATGTTCCGCAGTCTTTATAAAATAACTTTTTGCTGTTAAAATTGCCAGTCTAATGTAATTATATTTTCAGTTTCTTTTCCAAGATCTAATGTCAGCGGTTGAGACTCTGAATGAGATTCTGCCGGAACAAAAGCGATTGCCAGCACTGGATATCGATTATCTTGTAAATGGTACACGAAGTTCATTAGATGGGAAGCATAATAAGATTATTCGAGAAATTGAAAGTAATACCTGTTCAGTAGACAGTAATCAAGATGATTTGCATATCAAACCTGTTGACGAAGTGGCCGTAGTTGACAAAAATAATACTTGATTCGGTGGTTGAACTGTGTCATTTTTGTTATTTTCTTTTTCGTCAAAAAACAAATAATTATCTGTAACAAGCAGTTATGTTGCATCGTATTTTAGAATTGTCGCAAAATTTTTTCAAGATGAAATTCTGAAAGTTAAAAAAGATCTAGTGAAATAATGAAGTATAGACGCTTTACACATAGAAACATTTTTACTACCATATGTGGTAACAATTTATCCTTTCGTCGATTAACTTTTTATTATTTATTCAATAACATTTTTCTAATGAAGTTATTCTTTCATGTAATTATATTCTCAACCTAACATGGTTCTTGCTGTGAGCTAATATTACGATTCATTACACTTGTAATTGTTCACTTATTTTACTGTTTTTTATCCTGTAACTATTGTGTCTTTGATATTCATTAATTTGTACATTTATACAATTTTCTTGATCAATATGTTGGATCATTTTTATTCTTGGTCAAAATGTAAAATATGGAATTCATGCTGTTGTTTTTTTAATATATTAAACCAGGATGACCTTTTCATCTTTTATGTTTATTCATATTCTGCGAAGAGTGAAAATCTCGTAAAGATAGTTTATGTGGTAAGAAGTATGACGCATGTTTATTTGTCTTAAAAATGATCATTTTCATTTGATTTTAACTTCGCAAAGGTCTTCAGTTTTTTGAAGAGCTGACAAGATGCAGAAGTTGGAAAGTGAGAAATTCTTCGAAAACAGACATTAATGAGAATTCAATGATGGATGAATAGTCTAATATGAGTTTCGCTGATACAGATATCAATATGTTCCAGGTGAGTTCCCTACAGCTGGTCTGGTGTTACTAACCTGACTGTGTGACCTTATATATTCAGGAATAAATGGGAAATGTGACTGCTTGATAGCAATCATAGAATACGATTTCCAGAAGAGAAAGAAATAGAATTTCAGATGAAGTCGCTGGAAACGAAACAAATTATTGCGTTTGTTAATTATTTCATGGTGAGAAATGTTCAAATGCTGCAAAGTTTTGTATCTAATGTTGAGCGAAAAATTATCGACATGGAAAAGCGTTTGAGTCGAGTGCAAGTGGAATTGAAACTTTTGGAACTTAAAGTAATCAATTAATTACGCTCTGCCAGTGTTATTGTTGAATTGGTGATGAAGAATTTGAGCTTCTTTATTTCTAAAGAATTAGTTAAGTTATTAAGAATTTCTAGGAAGTATGAAGTTAATCTATCTCTATCTGATGATTATTTGGCAGTAAACGAATTTGATTGAGAATTGTTTTTAGTTAGACAGTGTGCCAGGTTTACAGAATATAGTTCCGAAAGCTATTGAGTTGTCTGTGAAACAGCATGACGATCAACTGCTTAAAAGGATTACAACGGAAGATACTATAGAGGTGCATTTTTCACTTCACAATTTAAAGTTAATATTGATAAAATGCAATGAATAATTGTTGTTTAGCGATTTTGTTTGCTTCAGTCATATCTTTCCTTCCTCCCTTTCTTCGTTTTCTGGAATCAATTTGACAAATTTAAATGGAATAGTTTTGTTTTTATGGGTCGTTCATATTTTATAAATGTAGTTACTATAATAGGGATTATTTGCATTGGAGTTCATCTTCTGCCAACTTTTCAGGATGAAACGGTTGGGAATGCGAAAGTGGTTGATTCAGAATTATTAGTTGATTCGAGTTCTATCACCACTGTTGAAAGACCACATGAATCGAAAGTGCCTTCTACCAAACAAAAACATTATCTTCTCATTCGAGATGATCCTCGTTATGCTATTTATTTTAAAATGCTTAAAATGGTTCGTTTTTAATTCTTTTTCCCTGTTTAGAGGAAGGAAGATGCCTTTCTTTATCGTAATAATCGTAATCGTTTTATCGTAATCGTTTCTCCTTTTCATAATTTTAGCTCTTTTGCTAACAATGGTGAGAATATTTGAATTATCAGTTAAATTTCCCGTTGAGATATAAGATTCCCTTTTATTGTAACTGTTTGCTATTCCTGAAAGCTATTTGTTGACTTAATCTTATTCCATACTTTTTCATTGTTACTTCACAATTCAGGGGGTACCTGAATGTGCGGTGAAACAAAAGATGGTAAGTCAGGGAGTCGATACAGCACTTCTCCAGTATGTATAATTTTTTTTTTTTTTTAAGATAAAATCTTTTTGTTTTTTTATACCGCAATTATTTAACATTCTTATCATTTAGAAAGAGTTTCAGCTAGTTTAAAATTGTTTTCAGTAACTTGCTATTACTGTTATCAGTTATTCTTTCGTGCAAAGTAAAATTTAAGTACGAAATACTATCTCAGATGTCGCTTTCACCTTATATTTATTTAAACATTAGGGAAGTTATTCTGTAGTAACGAGCAGAATTGTCAAATTAATCAAAAATAGAGTGAAAGTCATGCAAGTTACAGAAATCAAATACTTTATAAAAACATCCTTATATTTCCAGCAAAGATTGAGATCTTTGAAATACACAGCTAGCTATGGAGTAAATCAGAAGAAATTCTTTAGAAATTTTTTTGAACTGACTTTCAAATCTCTACAGAACACCAAACGCACCGTCTGATTTGCATGAAGATGCGGCAGCTAGCGTTGAGAACAATGAATTATCAAGTATCGATGACGACGATCACAATTCCATATCTTCCAGTGATTATTAATCAAAAACTATAAGTTATAGATTCATCTAGATTATTGGAAAAATTGAAACGAATGAAACATCGCTGAACCATTTCAAATGTTTGATCTTTCGAAAATCTTTGGTTGGACTTTGTATTCGTTAGATTTTACTTTTTACATTGATTACAAAATATATAAAATGAAAAAGTATTTCGTTTCTAAAATGTACATTTTTGAAACAAACCATTTGATATAAATCACTATTCAAGCTTTAATTTTTTTTTTAAAGATTGTATATGTGAAATTTTTTTTCAATAAAAACTGAGTTCAAGCGTTTCATGGTCACTGTTGCAATCTAACTAAGAAAACATTGGAAAGGACAATGATAGGTGCTTGATGAACGGAAAAGATATTACCAATTTTATGCGCTAATCAGCGAATTTCGAGAATCTTCAATGACCATACTAAAGTAGCGGGATTATACCGAGAGAATTCATTTCACTGGTCAAAATCCTACCAGAATCTTGATTGAATTATTGCTCAACGGTTGATTGTTGGTTTCATAAGAATGACTTGACTTGAGATGCGTACAAGAATGAACGTTTGGTCATTTGGGTTCAAAATTAGTCTTAAGTTATGAAACTATGATCTTTGTTTTAATTAGGCATCCAAGTTCAACGTGAATTTAGACGAGTGTTTTCCTAGCTGATCCGTAAGCGGATGATGCTAAGACGAAAACTATGGAGAGGTATCTGGCACTACGAAGAGAGTAGTTTTTTCCTGGCCTAGCTTCTTTTTCATTAATTTTATTTAGAAATGTGTAGAAAGTGTGCCAAATTTGAAATCTTTAAATCTTAACCTAATGTTCTATTTTTTCACCATTCTAAATTACTGTTCTAATATATATTTTTTGCTTTTTGAAAGAATTTTTTCATTCAAATTTGGTAGATTAATTGGTGGTATCACTCTTCCTTCCAATGATATCAGCTATTGTTTTTATATTAATAGCCATGGACAGGATTGAGAAGCACATCTGCTATCCTATTGGAAATTTTGAAATTATTTCTATTATGTATGAGATTGTAAAGATTACACTATTTCCCTATGTCATAGCTAGTGAAGAATTAATTTACTTCAGAATTTTCAAATGTCTGAACAGGGTGAACATGGGGAAAAGTTACCGATTGTATTGCCGGAGAGCTCACAATCCGAAGAAAACATCGCTGAAGATTCGCCAACGCCAACTGAAGATTCGCCAACGCTAACTGAAGATTCGCCAACATCAACTGAAGATTCGCCAACCGAAGATTCGTCTATCGATCGTCCTGCATACCGTCCGAGGTTTCCTATCTTCCCTCATGGTGAACCAGAATCACCGCCTCCGATAAGTGATGAACCAGCGTCTTCACCGCATTTAGTTCGTCCGCGACCAAACTATTTGCGCCAGAGAGCAACTGTTACCGCTTCAATTAACAGAGCGAGAAGTGCAGTATTAGGGACATCACCGCGCAGTGCTTTTTCACCACGATCATTGTCCATCTTACAAAATTCTTCATCTTCAGCACAATCTGCTTCTCAGATTTTCAGAGCGCCTACTGTTATGCCAGCTAACATCCCCTGTTCCGATGATATTTTTGTGGACCAAGAAAATGAACCAGCTCCTCTGCCTCAGGTGTCATTTTTGCCATTCGGTTATTTTCCACGTGGTCCCAGACCATTAAATGCTGGAGAGCATCCTTTGTATCGATATATCAATATGGTGGCAGATTTATCTCGGCCTGACAACGGGTATAGACCTCAATAATAAATTAATTCTTCTTAAACAAAAGTCAATAATCATTTTAGAAAATTGATTTCTGATTGTGAAGCACTATTAATATTTAAATAAATCAAATAGAATAGGTGTCCAAAACAATTTGATAAAATATTAGCTACTAAAATATTTAAGATCCAATTCTGTCCAATAAAATTAATCATTGTGATTAGCCAATTATAATCGATACATATAAATTGATTTAGAAATAATAAGTCTAATAGCCTTATGATCTCGTAATGAAATATAAAATTTGTCATGTTTATATATTGTAGCTGGGTCCGGGATTATTATCTGCTTCTTCGTCTAGGAGTACAACGACGTGAACATATAGGCCCTGATTATATGATACAATCAACGATGGCTTTAGGAAGGTATGGCTTTTTTACATTTTTATTTACTAAATTTGATTAAAGATAAATTCTTGGAAGCACAAGGCAATCAATACATAGGTCCTGTATAATATTTATTGCTATTTATCGCGCATTAATCTTTCTCATGATTGAAAATATTTAGGGTTTTGAATGTTGTAGTGAACAGGCTGAGGGTTAATCCAAACTTCGATGACGATTTTTTGGATTCCTTACATCTCGCATCACGGCAACTTCGACAAAATGCTATCATGTACTATAATACTACCAGACATCCTTTTGAAGTAAGAAATCAGCAGCAGCAAGAACAGTCGCAGCAGCAGCAACAAGAACAGTCGCAGCAGCAGCAACAAGAACAGTCGCAGCAGCAGCAAGAACAGCCGCAGCAGCAAGACCAGCCGCAGCAGCAAGAACAGCCGCAGCAGCAAGAACAGCCGCAGCAGCAAGAACAGCCGCAGCAGCAAGAACAGCCGCAGCAGAAACAGCAGCAGCAACAGCCGCAGCAGGAACAGCAACAGCAACAGCCGCAGCAGGAACAGCAGCAGCAACAGCCGCAGCAGAAACAGGAGCAGCAACAGCCGCAGCAGGAACAGCAGCAGCAACAGCCGCAGCAGGAACAGCAGCAGCAACAGCCGCAGCAGGAACAGGAGCAGCAACAGCCGCAGCAGGAACAGCAACAGCAACAACCGCAGCAGGAACAGCAGCAGCAACAGCCGCAGCAGGAACAGTCACAGCAGCAAAAGCAGTAACAACAGCAGCAGCTGCAGCTACGGGAGCAGCAATAGAAGCACGAATGACATTTTTTTTTTGTTTGAATTCCGGCAATAGCAACTTGTGAACTCCTATTTTTAACAACTTTTGACTTTTTATTAATGAATTTTCAATCCTCTGAAACTCTGAACTATATCAGACAACGATCTGATATTATATCTCTATTTTTCATGCAAAAGAACAAAAAAAAAAAAAAGATTTTACATCCATCAGTATTTTTCCAATTCATTACTGTTATATTATTTAAAATGTATCAAAGTTGTATATCGTTTACGTTTATCAAAATATATTATTGGAATAGATGAAATTGATTTGAAATGATAAGAATTTTTCAAGTGAAATGATTTGAATTACGCTGTTGGATTTTAGTTGCATTCACTTAAATTATTTGCATCAAGCATGTAAGATCTGGGTTTAAAATTTTTTTAAAATTTCGCTTGAAATTTATTTTCTTACCGATTACGGGAGGAAAAGTATTGAGTGTATGGCGAGAGTTAAACTTTCTAGCTTACTCCGCAAATTTCCATTCTTCCAACTCAAAACCATGAATATTCCATTTTTTTTCCTTTTTTTTTTCATGTAATGTATTCCATTGAATGTTTCGTGTAGCATGAAACAGTGCATTCTGAAAATTGCAGAAATTGAATTGATTAAATTTTGAACTTTACATGTATTTCAGATTTCAGAGCTTCTGAAGCCACACTAAATCACACTTCTAACTCAGTTCCAATCCTCAATTATAAATATTCACTAATGAAAATAGATATGCATATTTGTAGCAGCGATCATTATTCCTAAACGCAATGTGACAAGGCCATCGTATGACAGAACATTGAAGATCGGCCTATTCACTTCACTTCTTGTAAAATTTTTCTCGTTTAAATTTTAGGCACTTCAACCGGTTTCAACTGATTAGTATTCGCTACTTTTAGAAAAACTGCTGCAGTAGAGAGAGGAGGAGAAGATCATGAGGATAGAGAACATAATGAAAGGTCAATGAAAGACTGATCTGAAATTATCAAATGCGGATTAATTTTAACTGAAATTGACACAATATAAATAGACATAAACTTGTCCTCAATGCAGTTTGTCTTTCATATTCTGTACAACAAATAGGTCAATTGAAGGATTTCAAGTGTGACCTATTGAGTTGCTACCATTATACAAATTGAGGAAGCTTATCGGAACAATATTTCGAGAATAAATAACAGCTGCAATGATGTTTGTCTATTGAAGATTGTTCGGAAGCATCCTTACCATTATATATTACCGTTGTTGCATAGCTCTTAGATAGAAGCGAACAATAACCGTTTCCTCATTCTCGAAGCTGCCTATCACTTTCGAAGGCGTGCCCGTTTTATGATGACGCATAGGCGGAGCAATAATGATCATTGTTGCTTGCCGGTGGAATAATTCTGAATTGATAACCGTTGCTCAAAGAGCTCCCGTTTAACAATCTTCCATACATTTTCCATTCCTCAATTCATTTTACTTATTTCTCGTGAATTCATTAATATCTAATAATGAACATATATGAATCGATCAACGCTTTGATCATCCCTTACTTATATACTTCACTTCTATTTCGTGAGATCGTATTATCCTTTGTCACCATCATGTCCACATAAATGTCTGTTCAACTGTATCAGTTTGGTCAACATTATGTCTAGAGATAAGTGATGGATTATATTATCTTGATCAGACCCAATTCGGTTTTTTTTTATCCTGACCAAACCCAGTCCCATTTCTTTTATCCTGATCAGACCCAATTCGGTTTTTTTTTATCCTGACCAAACCCAGTCCCATTTCTTTTATCCTGATCAGATCCAGTTCGGTTTTTTTTTTTCATCCTGACCAAACCCAATCTCATTTCTTTTATCCTGATCAGATCCAATTCGGTTTTTTTTATCTTGATTAGATCCAGTTCTATCTGTTTTTTTTTTTGTCTTGTTCAAACCCAGTTCTATTTCCTTCATATCATATTTGATATATAAATATGCATATATGCTTGGTGCTTCATGAAGAAATAGCTCATTCATTCAACCTTCTACTCTCACAACAGGTAAGGCTCCCCTCAGTAATAGGGTATTACTTTGCCGACAAACTGCACTTCTCTTTTTTTTGTCATTTTTTTTATGGTTAACAGCTAATCTTTGCTTGAATTATTTCTTCGAATAATTATCAAATTAAAATTGCATGCAATTTGAGCTTATTAATATCAATATATTGAAAGTAATGCTTGTCCATCAAATGTATAAACTGAATTGATTCCTAATAATTTTTTGTAGTTTTAATATTATTTGACGATGACACGACGATATACAAGGGAATCTGGAGAAATGAGAAATAGAAAGGAATGCATATTTTTATGATCAGATTAGTTTTTGATATTAGTTTGAATTGAAGGATTTGATTTAATCAATTTTCAATATCATTTCCATACATTCTTTCATTCCTACATTTCTCCATTTCTAATAATGGAGTAGTGTAAGAATGGAATGAATGAAGGAAGTATTAGAAAAATCATGGATGTTCTTGAAATGAGATTCAGTTTTCTAACCTAAGCTTGAGATGTCAAGAGTGAATTGAATTTTATGGAACCAATAAAAGATCGGCAGAACTGCTTTTTTTTTCCAGAAAGATGTTAGAATTGCTTTTTTACGTTATGTCTATATATTTTAGAACTTTACATTTATAGCATTATTGATAATTTCTTTTTAAATTTGCAAATGATGTTGTTAATTACATGTGCCTAATGACACTATTCGCTAAAATGCTTTTGATATTTTTTCTCTATCATTTATTTAAATTATCAAATATGCAAAAATGGAATTTCTGTTCATCATTCGCTACGACTACAATTAGTTTTCTTGCTGCATTGATTCATGAAAATTTTTGTCTTTTTTTTTTTGATTTTAATTTTTAAAAAGGAACACAATTCATTATAGATTGTCGTTATTGTTGTATACCACAAAATTCTGTCGCCAGTTGACACGATATTGGACGAAGAAAAGGCCACAATCACTCACTACTACAAATACTATTCCTGATAGTACTACCATCTCTACACCATTACAACATTTCCATTACTACTACTTTTCACAGCTTGACGCCTTCTTTTGTTGTGTATTTCTATCAATCGAATTTCCAAATTTCATTAAACGAAGATATTTGAAAAAAAAAAAAAAAAGAAAAGAAAAGAAAAAAAAAATGCTGATATTGTGAAAGAACTATGATTAATGTGTTCTATAAAATGTACGATCAGTGTATCTATTAGAAAGCAAAACTTGTCCATACAGACAAAATTTTGTCTTCACATAAAACAATTATTTGGAAATAACTTAAAAGCAAAATCAAATTGCCTAAAATTTTGATGTGCAAAATCAAGGAAGCATGAACATTAATGTATTCACAGCTGCTCTGCTATTTCTGTTTATTGTACAAGGAAAGATTGGTATCAATGATGACAATAATGTTCATCTTCAATTACAAGAACTACGACTGGGACAGTGAGTTAATTTGCATTTCTTAAAGAAATTTTTAATAAGTTTTGATCGAAAAAAAATTTTTTTTTTCTTCGAATTATACACATATTTTTTCAATATTAAATTGAATAGTTCCAACATTATCATCATTTTTTATCTTCCCAACTTGCAGCACTGAAATTATTCAATCATAATTTAGAAAAGCTTAATGATACTAAAATTGAGACTTTTTATGGAAGATGACTCTTTTAAGCATTACTACTGCTAAAGCATAACTTAAATAGCATCTGTTAAAGCTTATATAATAATCATTATTGCATAAAAAGTAAAAACTTTTAGATGACTTTTTATAGCAACTCATTTCTAATATTACGCTTCACTTATACACTGAGAAATTTCACTTTTTGGATCACATTTCATTTCTATCACTGTTTTTTTTTTTCATTTTTCCCTCCCAAATGCAATTTTCATATTTTGTGTTGTGCCCGTTACAAAGTCATTAAAATGTAAATTTTCACAGGTAACATTTATTTTTTTTTCAGTGGCAGTACACCATTGAACCCATTCAAAACAAAAATTTCTTTCCCATTTGGCAATAAAAATAATATGATTGAATATATTAAAAATAACTTTTGAAAAAGAGAAAGAAGAATTTGTTGAGAAAAGACATAATCATCATTTTATTATTTGCAACGTGAAATTAAGTTCAAAAAATTTTGTAACGCACGAAAATTGTATTTTGACATGCTACACATTAAAAGATTTATTTTATTTAAAAGATTAAAAAAAAAAATCT